AAGCTCTCCGCTAAAAGAAGATTAAGAGAGCCCTTCATACGGCATTTGGCCTACGCTTCCACACTGGCAAGACGTTTTTTGAAGAGGAGAGAGTAGCCACATCTGACTCCACCATACGCGACCCGACAATCGACTGTGGTGTTACCCATTTATACTGTGCTGCAGTGCTGGTGCACTGAGACGGAGGGATTTAAGCAACTTGCTTCTTGTTTCAACCGCCGCGTCGGGAATAGAACCGGGGATAGAACCGGGGATAGAACCGGGAATAGAACCAGGAATAGAACCGGCCTAACTCTGGATTGGATTGCGAATGCAGCTCGCTAAACCATTGGACCGCGGCAGCATCCCCAATGGTCGAGTGACTCGAGTGTGCCGTGTTATTATATGCTAATAACATAAGGGCCCACAGCTCGTGAACAAGCAACCCCCTGCCTCAACGACGTGGTTGGTGTTCCTTGTTGGTGCAAAAGCGGGGAGAACGTGTGTAATTAACACAGTGCTGTACGCTCACTGCATGCTCTGTGATTAATGCCACACACACACATGCAGCCAATCTTGTGAAGTCACTCGATTGTTTTTTTTTCACGAATGATTTTGAACGCTCATAAGGTAACGTTTTAAAAAAAAATTATATGCCACAGAGCCACTTGCAATAATTGCTGCAACACTTGCCTCGGAGGTGTTGATGAAAACATTGTAGTGTTGTTTAAACTCCACCAATAGCATAAGTTTCCTCTCTCCTGAGAGCCACTAAAAACAGCCAAAATTACCATTGAGACACGCTCGTGTGGGATTATCTGTGTGTCTAGACTGGAAACGCGTCGATGTGAATGGAAACTGTTAAAAATATGTTTTACTTGGCACGTAAACTTATTTTTGCCCACGTGGAATGTTATTCAAGTTGACGATGTAAAACTCGATGACAAGTTGTTAATTGACAAGTTATCAAGTATTTACAATAACTGTCAATTACTAACTCGTCATCAACCCACTCTACTCTTGTATGATCACGTTGATGGAGGCGGCTTGGGTGTTTGTGCTTGTGACGCACGCGACAAAAGAACCGACAATGGGGCACATCTGCTGGCATATCCCAGCATACTTCCCTTTCTTCCGCATGGGAAAGTAATACGCACTTAGACAATACAACTATTTTATAATGGCTGCAATATTGGTACGCACATCCAACCTAATAGCACATTGCTTCAAACTGCAAATCCTAACACTCAAGATGAATACACTAAATATGAATACACTAAAGATGAACACAATAAAGATGAACACAATAAAGATGAACACAATAAAGATGAACACAATAAAGATGAACACACGAGAGATGAACACAATAAAGATGAACACAATAAAGATGAACACACGAGAGATGAACACAATAAAGATGAACACAATATAGATCAACACAATAAAGATGAACACAAAGAGATGAACACAATAAAGATGAACACAATAAAGATGAACACACTAAAGATGAACACAATAAAGATGAACAGAATAAAGATGAACACACGAGAGATGAACACAATAAAGATGAACACAATAAAGATGAACACAATAAAGATGAACACACGAGAGATGAACACAATAAAGATGAACACAATAAAGATGAACACAATAAAGATGAACACACGAGAGATGAACACAATAAAGATGAACACAATAAAGATGAACACACGAGAGATGAACACAATAAAGATGAACACAATATAGATCAACACAATAAAGATGAACACAAAGAGATGAACACAATAAAGATGAACACAATAAAGATGAACACACTAAAGATGAACACAATAAAGATGAACACACTAAAGATGAACACAATAAAGATGAACAGAATAAAGATGAACACAATAAAGATGAACACAATAAAGATGAACACAATAAAGATGAACACAATAAAGATGAACACAATAAAGATGAACACTCAAGATGAACACAATAAAGATGAACACAATAAAGATGAACAGACTAAAGATGAACACAATAAAGATGAACACAATAAAGATGAACACACTCAAGATGAACACAATAAAGATGAACACAATAAAGATGAACACACGAGAGATGAACACAATAAAGATGAACACAATAAAGATGAACACAATAAAGATGAACACAATAAAGATGAACACAATAAAGATGAACACAAAGAGATGAACACAATAAAGATGAACACAATAAAGATGAACACACTAAAGATGAACACACGAGAGATGAACACAATAAAGATGAACACAATAAAGATGAACACAATAAAGATAAACACAATAAAGATGAACACAATAAAGATGAACACAATAAAGATGAACACACGAGAGATGAACAAAATAAAGATGAACACAATAAAGATGAACACACGAGAGATGAACACACGAGAGATGAACACACGAGAGATGAACAAAATAAAGATGAACACAATAAAGATGAACACACGAGAGATGAACACACGAGAGATGAACACAATAAAGATGAACACAATAAAGATGAACACACGAGAGATGAACACACGAGAGATGAACACAATAAATATGAACACAATGAAGATGAACACAATAAAGATGAACACACGAGAGATGAACACAATAAAGATGAACACAATAAAGATGAACACAATAAAGATGAACACAATAAAGATGAACACACGAGAGATGAACACACGAGAGATGAACACAATAAAGATGAACACAATAAAGATGAACACAATAAAGATGAACGCAATAAAGATGAACACAATAAAGATGAACACACGAGAGATGAACACAATAAAGATGAACACAATAAAGATGAACACGAGAGATGAACACAATAAAGATGAACACAATAAAGATGAACACAATAAAGATGGACACAATAAAGATGAACACAATAAAGATGGACACAATAAAGATGAACACAATAAAGATGAACACACGAGAGATGAACACAGTAAAGATGAACACAAAAAAGATGAACACAATAAAGATGAACACACGAGAGATGAACACACGAGAGATGAACACACGAGAGATGAACACAATAAAGATGAACACAATAAAGATGAACACACGAGAGATGAACACACGAGAGATGAACACAATAAAGATGAACACAATAAAGATGAACTCAATAAAGATGAACACAATAAAGATGAACACACTCAAGATGAACACACTCAAGATGAACACAATAAAGATGAACACACTCAAGATGAACACAATAAAGATGAACACAATAAAGATGAACACAATAAAGATGAACACAATAACCACCACGAATCTCTCATTCGCGTGGAGTTGTCACACAATCGCCATGCCATCCACTAATCTGAGAAACATTTAGCAAAGCGACAATTGAATCGGTAATAAAGTATCTATGTATTTAGGACTTTAATTACACTTGCGAATTTCTGTCACTGTCATATTAACATATTTAAGGGAGATTTCAGAAAAAAATTAAGCCATCACAGTATTTTTGAAAACGAACGATTCGAGAATCTTATTCGACAATTGGACGTCCGGGACGCGCTGTCCTCCAGACAGTCTCGTCCCTTCACCTGATGAAGGCCGCTTGTGTTGTGACCGAAACGTCGTGAGAATTTGATTGTGTTATTTTATTTTATCAATTTATTATTTTATTCTCATTCTACGTGACTTTACCGAAAGAACCAAAGAAGGGGACGCCCGACTTTACACGACTTGGGGGGGGGGGTTCAGACAGCACGCGGCATCTGTGCGTGCTGCGAGCACCACCACGAGCACCACCACCACGAGCACCACCACCACGAGCACCACCACCACGAGCACCACCACCAGCACCACCACCACCACCACGAGCACCACCACCACCACGAGCACCACCACCACGAGCACCACCACCACCACGAGCACCACCACGAGCACCACCACCACGAGCACCACCACCACCACGAGCACCACCACCACGAGCACCACCACCACCACGAGCACCACCACCACCACGAGCACCACCACGAGCACCACCACCACGAGCACCACCACCACCACCACGAGCACCACCACGAGCACCACGAGCACCACCACCACCACGAGCACCACCACCACGAGCACCACCACGAGCACCACCACCACGAGCACCACCACCACGAGCAGCAGCAGCAGCGACGGGAGTTGGTGAAGGCGTGCGGGCTTCGTGCCGTGCACGAGCTTGGGAGAGAATTCATGGCAATTCCGCCCCCTAGCGTTCGGGCTGACTGTGGTCCTGGTGACAGGCGTGTGGTCAGTTGTTTGCGCAGTCCACTCAGGTCGACTCATCCTCAAATGAGAACCTGGTGCGGTCCGTAAAAACATCGCCACTAGGGATACAAAGGCGGCTGGGCGTGGTGCTGGCCACCTACCGCCTTCATAGGTACTCGCTAACAGCACTTGTCCCAACAGTCTGTTACGGCTATACGGGAGGATCTTTGTCTTGTATGTGCAGTATGTTGGACTTATTTCGTCTCAAGTGCAGACCTCCCTTGCTCGCCGCTGATGCGAGCAGGCGATGGGGGGGGGATCGTCCTGTGGATTTGCCGCCTGATAAACCTCAGGCGAGGCTCGGTCGTCGCAGCGGGCACGCTCGCCCGGTTCGTTCCGACGCGCCGCCGCAGCCATCTTACTCAGGGCAACAACGCCGCGGGTTAGCCGTGGTGACGTCATCAGAATGTGCGCCGCAGGGGCGAGGCCACACGCGCGCTGGGCCCCCGAGTAAGATGGCGGCGGTGACTTCACGGTGTCGAACGGGGTTGGTGGCGGTGGCGGCCACGTGGTCGCGGCTCCTCCCTTCTGCCCCCCTCGGTCACTGGGGCGGCTGCGATGGAGGTGGTGGCGGCCGCGGGTGGCGGCGACGCAGGGATCCAGAGCCCCGCGCCCGGGTGCTGCGCATTCTTTGTGGCGAGGAAGCGACGCTACTGCAAGATGAGCGTGGCCGCGGGCAGGGCGTTGTGCGGGGAGCACGCCGCCTGTTCGGGCACGGGCGCGCCGGTGAGTGAGGCCCAGTCAAGGCTGACCCTACACGTGGCTCGCACGTGGTCCCGCGGTACAGAGAGAGTGGCTGAGCGAGGTGCCTAAAGAGGGATACCAAACAGATGCATGTCGCAATTACACGAAGAGACAGAAGAACATACGCAGGGAAAGACGATGCAAATTTAATAAAAGTGAAGCGAAAGTTGGCAAGACACGTCGTGGCTAGAAGGGGGGATGATGACCGACGGCCAATATCGACGGGAGCGCCCACCGAGGAGTGAGTGGAGCGGGTCCGAAAGGAAATGCCGCGAGGGGAAGGAGCGATTAAAATGAGTAAATTAGCTCGATGGATTGTTACATAGCACGAGTGAGGCCGAGAGCTTGCGGAGGCCTTAATCCAGCAATGGATAGAACATGGCTGAAAGGCTATAACGTAACATTCATTCTGTGATACAACTTTTGCCCGCACCTTGCAGTTTTGCCAGTGCCCTAAATAAATTTACACCTTGTTTCCACTGTGATGTGTGTAATGATCCAGTCTAAATCACGGGATGTGTGTATTTCAGGTGGCTAATGAGAGGAGACGAATCGTTTGTCCACTTGATTCAAAGCAGTAAGTGTCATACTTTGTACCTTGCATTAACATACGCTGCACATACAGATTTGACACGCATTTTTTTTTATGAAACTATAAGCGATGCTATAAATGTATGATGATCACAAGGGATATGTGATTGAGCGAACTCCCCACTTCAACTAAACAATGGCGAAAGCTTCCCTGGAACGATCAATAAATCTAACCTTACTTGCTCTTATTGGAACAATTGATGTCAACGAGAATATTAAAATTAACGCTCGCTATGGGCAAGTTGCGTATCCCTCCCCCAGCTCTGTCCAGCCAGCAGGAGAAATGGGTTCACCACGTTTGACGTAAAGTTTTATTACTCTCACCTTAGGACTGCACCGTTCCAGTGTACATGGTATTGGTGATATATCATTAGCAATATCAATGAAAGTTTTATTTAACTCTCGCTGCCTCTATCCCACGAGTCTCCCTCAGCCTAGACCAGCCAGACCCCTTGTTTCACCGTCTCCACGACCCCTGCCCAGATAGAGCAGCATGTTAAAGTTAAGGTACCGTTTTGTTTGTTCTTGTTAACATATAATGCATATTTCCCCCTTCCAAAATTGGAAAATCTTTCAGTACAGTTTATGAAGATGTTTTGGAAAAACACCTCAAGAAATGTAACGCAAGGGAAAAATCCAAACCGGTGAGTCTAAGCCAGTGGTTCTTTACCTTATTGGAGGTACTGAACCCTGCAAGCTTCATCAGCGCATTCACCGAAACCTTCGTAATTGGAAAAAATAGAATATGATTTCTTCAAAACATAGGTATATATTTTATTAGTGCACAAAATGAACCATGCATCAGTTGCACACGAAATCACTGTGTTCAAAGAACAAAAGCAACAAAACATGAATTTCACACAAAACATAACTCAATGAATATTTACTGCAAGTGCCACTCTCATATCATTTTCGCAACAAAGTCTGTTCCTTTTCTTAGTTTTTATGTCTACCATCCTCGAAAAATATTGCTCGCAAAGATACGTTGTAACAAACGGTGTGAGTATCTCAAGGGCTTTCTTAGCAATAAGAGGGTATGGTACGATTTGGTGACACCAAAACGTTGAGAGCGTTGTTGTTCTGAAGAGTTGCTGTTGAAGCTGGCTCTGCTGAAGTTCAATGATTTCCTCGAGGTATTCATCGTTGACATCTGCTGTCGCAACACTAAACGTGAACGGCTGTCTCACCCATGCTCGATATGACTCTCTGGTGGGGAAGTATCCGTCGCGAGACTTTGCGAGCTCATCTAAGTGCATGGCAATTGCTTGCATCAGCTCCCCAGGTACAGAAATGTCTCCAATTTCAGACACGTCTTCGATCTTACACAGTCGTCCAGCAGGGGAAAGTTTGCGAAGTTATCATTCTCTGTTCATCGTTTCCATAAAGGTAGCTTTTTTTTAAACGCCTTCAGGTTTTCTTCTGCTTCGATGATGTTGACTCCACCGCCCTGCATCTGTCGATTGAGATGATTGAGAGCATCGAAAATATCGGTCATGTATGGCAAAATGAGAATGAACTCAGAATTTTCGAAGCAATCTACGTGACAATGTTGGTACTCTCGCAAAAACAGGGCTAATTCCACACGCATGGCAAAAACACGATTCAGCACCTTTCCCCGGGATAACCACCGAACGTTAGAATGGTACAGAAGTACCTCGAATTAAGAGCCCATTTCCTTACACAGCTCTTTGAAGATGCGGTGCTTCATAGCACTTTCGCACGTAGTTCACACATTCAACTCCAATTTTTAATACTTACGCCAGTTTTGGAGGCAAGGTTTTTGTTGCCAACGCATGCCTGTGCAGAACACAGTGCGTAACAATGATGTGTGGTGCATCGGATTTCACCAGCGCTCCAAAATCAGTGTCATCCCAGCATGGCTGGAGCTCCGTCCGAACAAACTGCAGAAACCATATTCCACGAAAGATCGTTGTCTCTGAAGAAGTCATCCACGAGTTTCTTCACATCGACTGCCTTGGTTGTTGTAAGAGTCTTACAAAATAAAAAAATCTTCCTTTATCACGTCGTCTTTCATATAGCGCACGAATACAACAAGCTGGCTTAGATTGGAAACGTCGGTGGTTGAGTTGGAGGCTGAACTTTGCTGGGCTTGAAATCAGATCTGCAACTACTTGAGCCAAGATGTCATCGCTCATGTCGTCTTCTGCTGCTGATAGTTTCATTTGAAAGAGGAATTTGGGATAACTTATCTTCAGCTTTTCCCAGCATGATATTCGCCATCTTCAACGCAGCTGGTTTTACGAGTGTTTCACCAATGGTGTGTGGTTTGCCCTGCTTTGCGATCAGGTACGCAACTTCGTATGATGCTGTGAGGATCGGTTTGTCGATGGGTACAAAGCCGAGAACAGGCAGAGTAGCCTTTTCATCGAATCTGGCTCTCTTCACCTTGAATTCAGCGAGCGTTGTGTTCTTGTATTCCCCATCTCCATGCAGCTTTAGGAAGTGTTCCTTTAGTTTTGCTGGTGCTAGACTAGAATTGCTCAACTTGGCATTGCAAATCATGCATTGAGGACGCTGACTCCCATCACGTTCCTTTATACACGTGAATCCATATTTTATGTATTCGTCCAACCACTTTCTTTTTTTTGCTCGACATAGTATGAAGGGATTGAAAGATTAAAAGAAATTCACAAATGACGTACAATCACAACAGCCACAAGTCGACTACGGAGCGCACCAAGTTCCTGATCACGCAATGTGGCATGATCAGCTGCAGCCAATGATGGCCAAGCGGAGCGTGACGTCACGAATAATACAAGTGGGCTGAATTTATTTTGTGTAACACATTTTTACTGAGCAACTAAATATTTGTAATCTAACACGGCGAAGAAAAATTGTATGTTGCCAATTTTTTGACGGCCGACAAACGGCCCTACATTACCGGTGCGAACCGGGTTGCTATACTGTGTGTGTCTTGACCCCTGCCGAACCCCGGAGAGTGACTCAACGAACCCCTGGGGCTCGATCGAACCCAGCTTAAGAACCACTGGTCTAAGAGCTCTTGTACATTCTGCATATGACATTCTCTTTTACAGGCGCAGATGTGAATTAGCACAGACTTTCAACAGTTGGCTGTAATACATAGATTGACATTTTTTTTCTACCTTTCTAGTGTGAGTTATAATTTTAACCATGGTAATTTTTCTGGACCATGTGATTGTTTTATATTGAGCTGATCTGGAAGTTGCTGCTATTGGAGCATGTGTGTGTGTGTCGCTTGGTGCATCGCAATTGCCCCGCTCTCGATGCAGCTCAGAAAATGTATAATCAAATTTATAAAATGTATGATCGGTTTAAAAAATATATTTGCCACAACTTTCACATTTAACCTATTTTGTGGTTGGGCCACATAGTACAAGTATTTTGGCACAACTGCCATATGTATTTCATCTGCACTAAAAATGTGGGAAATTAAACGGAGGAGCATATAAATGGAACGTCCACGTATTGATTTGGGAACACATAATAGGAGGCAGATAAATGTGTTTTGCTTTCAGATGTAGTGTCCAATGCGTTTATTAACGTCTTAATGGACATTAAGGGTTATGGACTTAAGGAAGCAGAATAATAAATAGCGGGATGGTGATAAGTATTTCATAAGATGGGATTAAGTGTTCAATAGGACAGTGAAGGATTATGACCATGCGAGTGAATGGGTGTTCACATTAATGTGCGGAGGCCGTAAGACTTATTCAAGATGAGGTCGTCAAAAAGATGACAGAAAATGGGAAATTGCATTAACGTGGCTGGGAGGTGAATAATCCGTAAACTTAGTTCATAAAGTAAATAAAAAAAATACAGGCAAAGGAAACAAATTCTAATCTACAAAAGAGAGCTGGTTAACCAGAATTGTTTTGTAATAGAGCATTGGTTTAGAATAAAAGGATCACAGGGAGACGTGTGGTAATTTAACTTCTATTTAGCAGTTTATATGACTTAAAGGTTAAGTAATTTGTTTTCTTGCAGGCTTACTATGTGCGAGATATCAACTGTGGAGAAAACGATGATCTGCCTTCAAAAGAACAGGTACGTTGTTGGAATTCATTAATTATCGTTGACTCCTTGATGAACGCTATTAAATATATTCCCCAATTATATAATAAACTTGTTATCGGCGTCATGACATACGTTAAATCGGAGTTCTTGGGGAGAGCAGTGCACCACCCTGTGAGAAAATGGCCATAGAAGATTTATCTCAGAGCTACTCTTGAAGTCACTATTGAGATGCACATTTTGTATGCCCCGCAAAGATCCGTATCTTCGATTAGCATGTACGGTGCAAAGAAAGTTCAACATACATATCAATCAGTCCTAAATGTTTTATTTACAGAGCTGAAATAAGCTAAATTAAGTTATCAAATCTCATGTGTTTTTGTGCAGTTATTGATAACCAGGCTGAGACCATCAGCTCACTATGCTGGAGAACCTGGCTTTGCCATGCACGGATATCCAGATTTAATTCAGGATCTCAATCCGCACCTCCGATTAGCACGGTTGGCTACGTACCGTGCGAAAGAAGTTCAACACACGTGCATACGTATCAGCGTCCTGACTCTGCTCGGACCCTTGAGCCACTAAATATAGCAACGACCAAAAATAAATCAAAACAAACACTAATTGTGTTGTCTGTCCATCTGCCCATTGGCTCAGTGATGGGATAAAATAAGATTACGTGGGTAGGACTTCTTAACGTGATGTCAAGTTGAAGGCTCAAGTGTATAAATTAATGACAGCAAGTGACACTGTTGGCCATGGATATAGTCTTGAAAATAATTTGATTAATCTCCATTAGAGGCTTACACCTTCGATTAAACGTCACTGGTTCAACACACAACTAACTAGCTGTGGGGTTGGTGGGGTCAAGTTTGACCAACTCAGGGCTTTGAACATGAAATCTATTTTTACCATTTTGGTTTTTACCTTTCCACATTGAAGTTTTTTTTTATATATAATATGTTGTAAAGTAAATAAAAAACACTTTTAGAAGTTTTCTTTTAAAATTCAGCCTTGTATATTGAAGCAGAGTAGCACTGAGTGCGTGGTATGTAAGGACGTGTTGCTGCTGTGTTGTGGTGCAGGTTGCGTTATCCTCGCTCTCAGCAGAAGAAATGTCAGCGCTAATAAGCAAAGTACAAGGTGTATTTCAAGGTAAGCATCACTTTCTTTGTAAGTTAAGTCTGATGGACTGGATCTGAGCCGAGGTGTCATGATTCGCACGCTAGACTTGCAATCCAGAGGTCGCTGTACATATGAACCGCTACAAACATTTCCTTAATCCCCCTGCCTCTGTTCATCCAGTGGTGCAAATAATTACACCACAGTTGGTTGTGTGTGGTAGAGTAAAATGTGGGTACTCCTACCAACTTCAAGACATCCTTGAGTAGATGTCTTGCCAGCAGTGGTAAGTAATTTAAGGACTGCACCTGTGCCCTTTTTAAACTGGATGTGACCAATTTCAAACAAGGTGTTCATTATCTCTATCTGGTGAAAGCCCCCTGAGATATCCTACCACTTGCTGCAATGGAACCGTGGGGTCCATTTTTTCACAGGGTCGCAGTGACATGCCCACGTTAGATCAGGGATGACCACTACAGCACGTTCACCGTTATGAAATCACTTCATTTTTTATCTCATCAAAATGTTCTTGAATCTGCACGGCCTGTGGGTAACCGAGATAATTTATCCTCCAATTACCTCCACTACAACAAGATTAATAAAATAAGTTCCATGGTAAATACTTGCATACAAAGTTCAATAGAAGTCATCCATTTACATGTTACATTTATTGAAAGTCAAAAAGTCTAATTTCCTGCTCAATTGAGCATTAAGACCTTGATGATCTGTTGTTTACAGCCTTGACCCAGCGGTGGAAATTCCACATTACTATGGTGGGGAACAAATTTACCCACAGGCTCATCACTTAACTTTACCAAAAAGTGGAAATAATTTAATCTAAAACATTTTAGATTTTAAATAAAAGCTTTACTTCCCATCAATCTTAACTCAATAAAAGCTTTATTGTATGGTAATATAACATGTTTAATTAAATCGAAATAGCCTAAAAGTATGTAAACAAGCGGCTGCATAAATGAATAAAATATACCCCTTAGGCTTCCTTGCTTAACAATAATGTTGACAAAAGTGCTGTGGCAGCCTACCCGGTGTTTGACCAGAATGTGCCAAAGACTCTCACAAAACTTAATCCATGAAACGTGGCGACAACCGTCGCGAGAGTGGGCGTGGGTGACGCATGGCATGCATCTCTCTCTGGCAGGCGCAGAGGCGGTGCTGGAGCTTCGTGTCCTGTCCCACCCAGCCCTGCAGCAGGAGCTGACAGATCCCAGCAATGGAAAGTCAGCCCTCAAACATCTCCAGCAGCAGGTGAGGAGAGCTTTGCTACCACCATCTCTTGTGTAGTACGACATCGTCATGACCATAGGACGAGTATTGCGCAACGATCGATGTGCAGGGCAGGGCTACGTGGCGGCGTGGCAGCACATTCACCTGTTCTCTGTCCTGCGCCCAACTGTGGGGTCACCATTGTAAAGTTATTTTAGCGTTCCCAGCGATTCATTCTCATCGGACGTTATGATGGCTGTTATCAGAAAGTAATAGATTGTGAATGCTATGGCCATTAATATTTATGCCTTTTTCCCCTCCAACTTTGGGAAAATATACTGTATTCCCATGTCGCTTTAATTCAGTGTGGAGAAAGCGTGTCCCCTTGCCTTATTCACATTCTCATGCGTATTTTAGAGATGTCATCTTCACCATTGAGGAAAGTGAGTGTGCTTGGGAATGGCTATAAGGAATTATTGCAATGGATGAGACTTTTAACAGAATGGCAGCCAATGGGGAGAACTAACCAGAGAGGATGCGCCCTGCGTAGATGAGCCAACGAGATCTGGTGTATGTGTAACACTGAGATGAGTCGTGGCATTGCAGGACCTTGAGGGATAGCTATGGGTGTGGCTGGTCTTTATCCATCAGTCGGTATACAATGGCTGCTGATGTTGATGATGACCTCCGAATATTCCTGCCTGCAGCATGGGACAATTATCCCTTCAATTTTATCTTATATTGGCTCGATGGGCCTGAACTCCCCCATCAAAGCCTGATAGGAAGTAGGGAATTGTGATTGAGCAATGCCATTGACATTCACGATGCAATCTGCGCACGATCACGCTCGGGGAAATCGGCACTGTCAGGCACTTGATGTCATTGTCATGCACTTCAACCCCTAGACCTCTGATGGAGCGAATGGTAAAAGCACATCTCATTATTTCTTGTGCCAAGCGTAATGTTTCATATTTGAGCCTCGGGACACAAGTAGTTTTCTTAAAATAAAGTAAAAATAAAATTGTAACAATGGTTGTTAGTTCTAGAAATAAGTGCATAGCTTTTATTTGAGAGCACAGTGGTGTTTCTTTAGATGTATAATATTATTGCATTAGACAGAATAATGTAAATCTACCTGCAGCTGAGTATAGCCTCGTCTCTCTGGGGGAAACTAAACCCCGCTCCAGATGATGACACTTGAAGGAATCGGTATTGGAATCTTTATTTAGACTGCAGGAGGAATCCGATGAGCTATGAAGCTCTTTTTCACAAATGCCCAATATGGGCGGGTCAGCAAGTTACATGTTTTTCTTTAAGTGGAATAAAATATGAAAGGGTCACTTTTTTTTAATAGTCGTCTGAAAACTTGGTACGCACACCTCGGCATGTCTTGTGCCATAACTCTGCTGTAGGATGCTGATGACGTTCAGAACAGGCAAACGCCTCTAAGTTCATATACAAAATACGTTTGATTTTTGTGTTTGTGCTTGTTTATTTTCCGTGGCGGAGTGTGCGGAGCTGTAAACATAGCGGTCAACGCATTGCATTCCGACGATATCAACAGCCTGAATTTGAAACCCGCCTACGGCGAGCATCGGTGGTGATTCTCAGTACTTGTACTGGGCCTCCCCGAGGCCCAGGCTTCCTTGAGTGCCTGATGGGATCATCAGCACCGGGGTGACCATAGCCAGATGTGGTTTTGGCCCCTCGTGCTCCCTGTCAGCCTTCACAGGTGCTGCTTGCTAACAGCATCCACTCACAACGGCCTGTGTGGGCTCCACGTGGGATCTCTCTGTCTCCTGTCTGTGTGTTATTCATCGCTAGGCATCCATAGTGGGCCACCTGTCGAGCCTGGGCCTGCTGGGAGCCGACCGCTGCTACGTGGAGTTTGGCGCCGGGCGGGGGAAGCTGTCCCACTGGGTGCGGCGTGCCCTGCCCGGCGCCACGCGCGGCGTCTCCTTCCTGCTCGTGGAGAGGTGCAGCACGCGCTTCAAGGTGCAGCGCCGATGCAAGCAACGTCAAAAAGAAACATTTAGCACAGGTTTTGTTTTGTTTTAAAGCGTGAGAAACCACAGACAAGCGTTAAGGCAGCCAGAACCGGCGCCAACTATTTTCAAAACTCTGGCCCTTTGATTGGATGTTTGGCCAACTCCTTAATGAGTGTTTATACATGCGGGAGGAAACCAGAGTGCCAAGTAGCTGATTGCACCGAGGGATTAGGAAGCCTTTTTACAACATCTGTTGTGACGAGTAGCGCAAGAGCGCGAATGGACACGAGTGCCGCGTCAAAGGCGTCGGCGTGCCCCCGAGTTTCCCCGGTGAGACTGCCATCCCCACGATCCAGACATGGACCACACAGTGGCAACCACTGCCCACTCGGGTTGTGCGTTGTCAAATCATAGCTCTGTCGTGCGTGTTTTTGGTCATTGCATGATGTCTGGGAGCTTCAGCTCGAACAACAAATGTAAGAATATGCAACGGTGAATCCTAGCAAATGTGCACTTGCCAATACGCGATCACACGGTCATTCAGATACTGAGCGGTGCCCAGGAGATGGTGATGAAGCAATGAGTACAGTCCACAGGTGATTCGGTGTGTTGGATCCGTCTGTGGAGCGATTTTTTGTTGGCTGGACCATACTTAATCAGCCCAGCCCCTCCTTCAATGGATGTGGCTCGGGGTCATAGGTCACAGCCAGAGCAAACGTCCCATTTTAAAGCAGCCCGCCCTGCCGTGGGTGACGCTGCGTCGGAGTGGGACCACAACCCGAGTGTTCGAGAGACATCTCCGACGAGTTCTACCACGTGTTGTTCGCCATGGTGTCCGACGTTTCGCTGCACGTGCAAACCTAAGAGCTTTTCGGCAAAATCGTGAAAGCATTCGGTTACTCTTCACGCATATAAATGTTTCCCCATTTAAAAGAGACAAACGAAATTGATTTACTAATTTTATTGTTTGGTTTGTCTGCCCGTATTGTTCAAGTCAGTGAAACATGTACGACGACTGCTTTGCAGGTGGACGGGAAGCACCAGGAAGGGGACGTGGATTTCCGCCGCCTGCTGATAGACATTCAGCACCTTCACCTTGGTAATAAAGCCAGTCTCTTCAGGTGACCGAAAGGATTGCTTTCAGATGGAAAACATTTAGGCCACACACGGACATATACAGTACATCGTCGCACATCCAACTCGCTGGGGACTGAGGTGTAGGCGGATATGCGAAAACGTCTTCTATATGAACGTCTCTCGAGTGATAGTTATACGACATACTGCTCTGTGGTGCGATTAATCGGTCAGGGAGATACGTGGTGGTTGGATAATGCCACGTACTGTATTATATGTTTGAGTCTGTGCATTGTGCATGAAGCGATGCATTGATTATTGGGTTAAAATAAATTATTTTGCTCAAGATACACCTGTCACGGTTGTGTGTTTAAGAATCCGTTTATTTACATTTGTGTGTTGTCTCCAATTGTTTGAAATGCCTGCAGTTACAGCTGCTATATTTACCACGGAAAAAAATATATGCAGTAGTTTCTTGAATTGTGATCACATTATTGGAATGCTTGGAAGTTGAGGAAGATGATGGTTACCAGCCTAAGTAGTTCTACTTGTTATGTTAGCACATTCTAACTGGGCAAGTAAAAATGTCAAGGGCCTCCACTAGAGGGAGCTCTAGCGAGCCCCTCTGTGGAATGGGTGGGATTACCCACACTTTACCCCCACCACACGCTGACCGTGAACTTGATGTGCGCAGGGAAGGTGCCACAGCTTCAGGATAAGGGGACGTCTGTGGTGGCCATCGGAAAGCATCTGTGTGGAGCGGCAACAGGTCAGTGTGAGCGAGTGACCCCAGAGTGCCGCTCGTCTCCAGCGGGCACTGCAGTCGTCCGCACTGCGGCACACCCCGTTGGTAACACGGCCGGGATTTGTGCTGTGCTTGTAGGGCAAAGCCAACACCAAGGTGCCATGTCTCACTGACAAGTGCAGTCTTCCATTAGGAGGGGCGATGTTGCCACGTGGTTATCCAATTAAGTAATTTGTGGGTAATTGGCAAACTTGGACCGTGACCCCAGCACACACGCCCTACTCTTTTAGAATAATTTCAGAGGGACTATATAATGCCTACTGTGAAGCAGATGGCATATTTTAATGGTTCATGCACCCGCAGTATTAATCAGGGCTGCCCCTGGGCCCTGAATCTCTGCAATGGATGCGTTGCTGCATCCATTCTGCACATTGATTGCTTCTGAGCCTGTGTTTACCTCTGGCTGGACATCCCCAATGTGTTCAGTCCAGACCCGTGCCTCAGGGATATAGAAATTGTGGCCATAAGCTATGGTCCCGAGTAATCGTGAGCATGGAAATTATTTTCTCAGCAATTTTCAGTTCTCAATTCAGAGTACTACTGTAACCAATTTATCTGGAATGCTCCAAATCTCATCAGTGCTCGCAAGCCAAGCAGGGCTTGGACAGGCGATCACCATGCATAGAACACCTATTCTGCGTGGCTATATGGTGTTCAGCAGAGGGTAGTGCAGCAAGAGACATTTGTATTGTACTTATATACCCCACATCTATACTCCCCGCCATAACAACCGGCATCGACCACCGTAGCGAAGTACGGTCAAACAACCCGTATGGCGTGGGGAGGCTCTCGTTCAGAAGTGGATTGATGCTGGCTTTCTTTCTATTTCCATTTGCTTCATTGTCGTACTATTGGTTCTATATTTGTCATTTTGGTGAGTCAGGAGGTTACTCTGGGAAATGAGCCTCATCTTGGTCTCTTGAGTTCTCACTCTCCTGGTCACAACAAAATGGACTTGGAAAATGACTGAGTGTTGTGACTCAGCCGAGCCAGGATGTGCCAGCCGTACGCCCTGCGATGCCTTCATTCATCTGGAAAACATTCCCCATGACTTGTTTCACTCACAGATGTTCTCGGTGTCAATTTCACAGCCTCCTTTGATAAGATTTGTGCTGATTTCTCGTGTTTACGTTGCATTGGTTCAAATGACTGCCGTTGGCACATCGGAGATGGTGAATATGTTTTCTGATTATAATCTTTGTTTCTCCAGCCCAATTGGAAGTATTTCTGGCTGAAACGTGACGGGTATGTCGCGTTTTCATGCTGTCATTAAAATAAATGCCGAATGGCGCCTGAGCTTCATCTTCAGGGGACACTTAATGCTTCTTAATGTGATAACTGCAGACGAAAGTAAATATGTCAAAGCATGCCACAAATGTGTCCGCTACACTGTAATGGGTGAAAGTGATAAATCGGGTTTATTTCAGATTCGCGTGATGCTTCAGCATGCACAATGCCCATGGCTCTCACTCCTGCTGTTTTAATTATCCGGTGTCTCGCTTATGCCTCCCAGTATATTGAGCTGACACGGCGGCTAATACCACGCTACGTTATTCACAGGGATCTGTACGTTTTCACATCGAGTGAATGCAATTTGTAACCCTAATGTACTTATGCAGGAACAATATGCGTTCAGATGCAAGTCAGGTGTCATCGCTCTCTCTATGCCTATTTCAGTAAAGCGATTACATCCAACCCAGCATGCACTCGCCACCCAGCGGTTACGCTGCCAGTCGGCTACTCGGCAATGGGCTAGGTGATGGTGGGGAACCATTGAGTACAGTCCACAGGTGAATCGGTGTGTTGGATCTGTCTGTGGAGCGATTTATTTTGGCTGGACCAAACTTAACCAGCCCGGCTCCTCGTTCAATGGGGGCGGCTCGGGGTCACAGGTCACAGCCAAAGCAAACGTCCCATTTTAAAGCAGCCCGCCCTGCCGTGGGCGACGCTGCGTCGGAGTGGGACCACAGCCTGAGCGCTCGAGAGATCTCTCTGACGAATTGTACTGTGTGTTATACGCCATGATGTCCGATGTTTCGCTCCACATCCTCTGCGAGCTTCAGAAAATGAAGAAACTCCCAGCATGGCGATGGTCACACCGCAAATGACACCGCGCATTTCGTAATTGGGCAATGCAGAGCAATCATCTCCCCCCCCCCCCCCCCCACCATGACCACGGTGTTGCCAAATGCGTGCCCCAGACCTGGCCCTGCGCTGCCTCATGGAGACCCTTCCGCGGCACGGCACCCGGGCCGCAGCGCCAGGACTCGCCGCCTGTGGGGAGGAGGCCCCCGGCCAGGCCCCCTGCGAGACCGGCACGGGCCCCACGCTGGGCATCGCCATCACGCTGTGCTGCCACCACCGCTGCAGCTGGCCGGCCTACGTCGGGAAGGAGTATTTTTGCTCTCAGGTGATGACTGGACGCTTTGAGCTGATCCGAATGGATCCAGAGTTGCTTGTGATGAACAAATGCTGCTTAAATTGTACATTTCCATAAGGCCACGAGGCTGATGGTGTGTAAAAATCAATACTTGTTTACGTAGACAGATGTACGTCATGGATGTGTTAGTGTCTGCTTACTTTCTTACCGATGGGTTTTATATTTACAAGAATACCACATTAAAGGAATGGAGAATGTTTTTACTTTTCTGCAGTGCTGTTTTGAGCACAAATTTAACCTGATCTTTCATCCATAATACTACGTGCCTCATGCTGATGTTAATATTTACAGGTACTTTAGAATGGCCTTTTAGTTGGCAATTCCTGCAGTAGTTAAACATAATTTGGCCTATGACAAAATGACCCCGAAAGCACCAGATCTCATCAGTTCTCAGAAGCTACGCATGGTTGTGAATGGCTTGGGTTGGAGACCAGTGCATTTACAGGGGTGACATTCTATAACGTGTAAGACGTGTTGTAGATCCTTGCATAATTAGATCTGGCGAAAAGGAAGTGGCCACCCGATCGACCCTGTTTTATGATCCTGCACCTCCAGTTAGCACGGTTGGCTATGTATGGTGTGAAAGAAGTAAAAAATGCATTCGTCCCACTTGAGAAAATAGGAGCCTTCCTGTATGGTCGCCATGAGGTGTTGGTGAACCAATGAGTTAGGCCCACAGGTATTTCAGTGAATTGAATCAGTCTGAAGCGTATCTATTTTGGCTGGACCAAACTTGATTAGCCCGGCCCCTCGTTACATGTGGGTGGCTCGGGGTCACAGGTCACAGCCAAAGCAAACGTCCCATTTTAAAGCAGCCCGCCCTGCCGTGGGCGACGCTGCGTCGGAGTGGGACCACAGCCTGAGCGCACAAACTCCTCTCCCTGCTCACCCCCTGAGCACATCAACATTCCCTGCTCGTCACATCTGCCATCCCATGCTTCCTCCTGCCCTTTTCCAGACATCCTCGCTCCGCACTGCCTCCAACGGGCCTCTTCTGCCACAAGGGCTTGTCCCTGGGACTGTAGTGAAGGGCTGCCCTAGTTGTCCCTGGGCTGTAAAACTCATTTTCATGAAACTTAAAATAAAAAAAATATACTTCCTTGGGGAGGAATGGTAAGCAAAGATTATGATAAAAATAGAAAGTTCGTTTTACATTTTAAAGAATAGACAGGAAGTAATTTTGTGCAGCAGCCTATGTATGGAATTCCCAGACTAATGTGTTCCAGTGTTGTTTAAGCCGTTAAAAACTGTTAATTGTATTCACAAGCAATTGCGTTGGTGCTTTCACACAGACGCCGGTAATGCTCCAGTGTGTATGTTGCTGTCTTTGTCCGAGCAGGGCCTGGGCCCAAAGGAGTTTGACCTCATCCAGAGGATGTCCAGCTGGGCCACCTGTGGCTGGAGGAGACCGACGGACCAAGTGCCGGACAACGGAAATGAAGACGCCACAAGAGAAGAGAGGGCGAGCAGACAAGGAGGAGTGGAGTGGCATGCAGAGGAGGAGATGGAGGCCATTGATCATGCTGCACCTTGTCAGGCAGAAGATCAAATCAGGTGATTCTAAGCTAAGGTTTTGCATTATTCGGGCATCTTAATACCTTGGCAACTTCAAGCACTTTACATCACATCCCAACCATTCCAGCGCCCTACTGCAGTCTCGACATGGGGACCCACTGTGGTAGCTGTCTTTATGCAGCACAAGAGGTGGACGACACCACTGGCTGCAAATGAACAAAGCCTGACAGTAGGGGGCGGTGTTGCATTGTAGTTTTTTCCAACACCCAGTCATTAGCTGGGTGCTGGTGGCTATGCGTGCCTGTAGTCCAGCTCTGGAGTAAGCGAGGGCTTTTCTCTGGGTGCTTCAGTTTCCTCCCATTAATTGGCAGATAATACCTTTATATCGAGGATCACAGCTTGGGGGTGGAATTTGGCACAGGCTCACCGCGTGGCTATTGCCCTTCCCGGTCGTCTTCTCTTCGCACCTCCGAGTTGTACTCCCTTTCTCTTGAGAGCGAACAATGTAATGGGATGTGATGTGGAAGAAAAAAACTAATATAAAGTGTTGGAAGAGGTGCGTGTACCCACACTTTACCCCGCCATCCGTAGCTTGCCAACTGACTTACTGGTGTATAACAAAACCAAATGATATTTTCACCGACTGCACGCCAGGATGAGTGGGAGTTGCATGCAGTTTAAAATTAGATTATTTTCTGTTACGCTGTGGAAGCTACCAGACATACAGACATCCGTCGTAATAATCAGGTTAGAGAGCTCCGATGGGACCACGAGTTTTTCTTTCAAGGGGCACATGGGAAATTAAGAGAAATTTGCTGAATCTAAAATGAGATGCGGCTTTTACCGGACCGAAGTTCTGTGCATCCTCTCTCGTCGTGGGTTTTTCACCAACATTGGGTGGAGTGAAAATAAAAAGTTACGCAAGTCGATGATGAATGTCGGTAAGAGTCATAGCAGAGTGGCTCATGCTCCCCGGCCTCGTGTCGCTCAGCACACTCAAGACGTGTGGTGCGTCAGTCACTTGATTGCCTTGCCGGAGGTGTCAGCGTCATAGAAAAGATGCGCAAATATCGATACGTCGCCGTGTGTTTGTGCCGAGGTTTTGACGGCTGTGCTGTTTGAGGAATGTCCGACGTTTTGCTCCACGCATGGCACAACATCGAAGAGCTGGGTCTGTTAACTTGGCTCTATCCATCCAGCAGTAGACATGGCTTCACCAGCTTCAATCCGCAAGTCACATGTGGCGTTATAAAACGTGGGTACGCCCACCTCTTCTAAGACGTCTGTTCAACGTCGAAGAGTAGTACCCTTCAGAGTTCCCCCTCGTGGAGGCCCTTCCGACAGCTGTGGCTTGATCGAGAAACGGCAGGGCCCCACCTTTACCTCTATACTGAAATAAATTGACCAGGCAATTCCTTTCAGGCCAGCGACTGTGAGTAGAGACGCACATTCATGTATGCGCATGTAAAACTGCGTTTGTACCTTACGTAGCCAACAGTGTGTGGGGAAGGACACCTAAGAGCGCGTGCTGTGTCACCGTGTATTTAGCTACGGCCGGAGCCGTGCAGAGCGGGAGCAGCTGGGCCGGCTGTGCAAGCGCGTGCTGGACGAGGGCCGAGTGCGCTACCTGCGCGAGTGGGGCCTCACGGCCCGGCTGCAGCGCTATGTGGAGGCCGGCACCACCGTGGAGAACGTGCTCCTCACTGCTCGCTCTGCCACCGCCTCCTGAAGCCACCGGCCCGTACCGTCTGGAGAGCTCAGCTGATGCCTGGCGGCAAGGGCGCCAAGAAAATGTACCTTGGTGACACCAGTTGGAAGACAGCCTCCTTGTCTGCCATGGAATCACCACCATGCCCAGAAGTATTTATATGTACCTATGTATATTTTAACTGTAGGAAAAACTAAGAAGAGCCAGAGTGTACAGTGCTGGCAGTTGGGGAAATTGTAAAAAAAATTGGTATGGACAATTTTCAAATGTTATAGACACGAGAATGGATATGTTGGTGACACAAATAGAAAGGTCTAAGGAGAGCCATCCATGAAAAAGATTAATTGAAATGTTCATGAAGGCAGGGTGGAGGAAGAGCAGAAATGGTTGGGTTGGGGATTGGTTTTTCTCCCAGTTATCCCTCAAGGTCTCCAGCTGTTGAGCAAACTCGTGCATGTGACCTTTGATTTCACTTGTTTATCCTTTGCTGCCTTGTACTATTAGACATGGAGATACGCATGGGAGCCCAACAATAGACTTTTAAATGAATTTATTATGGATGTGATTATATAATGCTCAAAAGCCATCACCCCAGCCTGGATGTCCCATTCTTGGAGTTGGCAACATCTGCATATTTACCTACAGCTGGCAAGGAACATTCACCAAGCATGCTTCCATAAGTATAAAAACTGTTTTATTTAACATACAGCATACAATGCAAAGGTATCCGTTACAGTTCTACATAGTCAAATGCAATTGGTGTTTACTGCAAAAGTCACATGGTGTCTACATTATTAATGCACACTCGCTAGCAGGATATGTTGTGTTAGACCAAACACTATCACCATTTTGACACCAGAGCAGCTCACATCTGATATGTTACACTACATTATTACTACTTGTAAAAACAGCCTTTTCTTCTGTGTCACCTACAAAAACAAATTTGAAGGCCATGTAAAGTGTCTGCAACTGTGGCCTAGTTCCTGCTCAAAAGCACCAGCATCTCGTGGGGCAGTTGGAAACCGAAGCCAAGTCCTTGTGCATGGGATTCATGAAGACGTTGCAGCTTATCCACCATTAGTCGACGTTAATTTAAAAAGTGCTTCCTTGGGCTGGGCAGAGCACAGCCCGGGGCCCTTCCACTTGAATTTGTGAATCTGCAATGCGTTGTGCTTCAGTCACAAGTCAACATGTATTGTACATCTTGACTTAAAGCTTTCATGACTGCAGGAGTTAATGTTCTTTGGGTCTTTTGGTAAAGTCACTTACATAGGCTGAAAGAAAATAACGATGCTTTTTTTCTCCTCCTTATGATGGTCACTTGTGTTGTGATTGAAACGGCATAGTTTTTTCTTATTTTCTTTCAACCATCTACGTGACTTTACTGAAAGACCCAAATAATATGTATTGTTACATTGTGGTGAATGTAATGACCAGTGTTTGCACAAACCCAGCACATACAACATGGAATAAAACAAATTGCTACTTACAAGCGCTGTTTGACGGGTGCTTGTGAAGCAACGGATCATTACCCCTCTACGTCATTCTCAGCAGCTTTGTCTTCACGGAATCAATGAGCTTTTATTCTAAGGTGGCACTACAAAATGTGAATACTTTCATTGTCCATGTTGTGGTGTAAGCAGTCAGATTGAGTGCGCCCATCAACGGAGGGAAGGGGCGTAGGCACTTGAGGCTGAATGCAATACTGAACGTGTGACGCAGCCGCTGGCCCAGTGCTGACGTTAGCCGAGCTGCAGACTCAGGGAGACCACGGTGGTGTATTCTGGGCTCGTCTCTAAAAGCCACAACGGAGAGAGAGAGAGGTCAATGCTGCCATCGAAGTTAATGAACACTTACAGGACAACACTGCATCAGCCACTTCGTTTCAGCATAATTACTACATCTGCATTACGTTGGCCCTGCGGACATGATTCAGGTGGCAGTGCTAAAGGGGAAGTTCCAACACCAAGAATGAAACTAGCCTCCATCGCTCACACCACTTGGCAGACGGGCATCTACTCGAGGGTATTTGGCCTACTCTTCCATGCTGGCAAGATGCCTTGTAACAAGTATCCCCTTTACAGTTCGCACAATGCACAGCATAAGGTTACTATGGACATGGAGTATTAAATATGCATTCAATGGCTGTCATTAACTATGTTACATTGGCCAACATAACACACAAGCTAATAATTTGCATCATCAGCCTTTCCACAAAAAATAAAAGTATTGTTTACACATCCACTCAACCACATGGCCTAGTGGTGCATAATTTAAGAAACAAGCACATGGTTGTTTTATTGGTTTGATTGAACTAGAACCCAACTCTTTCAGAGAGGGTCCTTGCCTACGAACATTCCACAGTTTCAGCAAGGCTGGCTGCTGGTGAGACTCAAAACCGGTCCTGAGTTTGCTTGTGTTGAATCTAATACTGCTAAAATTATGCACTCCCATAAGTCTGGGTGGCTGATGCGATGTGTAAAAGACATTTTTTAACACGGAGGGACAGATGTGGAAATGTATTGCATAACACGGGTAAAGAAATTTAAATCCAAGTTGTGGTGCGGCACCCTCCGTCGTCGTTTTGCCGTAACAAAGGCAACGTGCGGGCCCAGGACACATACCTCTCTTCTGCAGGTCCTGGAAGTACGACGTCATGAACTCCTTCCCCATGTCCTCTTGCTCTGCGTCGACGACCTGCAGCCGCTTGTTGAGCGGTGGGGGGGATGTCTGCTTCGTGGTCCTCATCTCCTGCAGCCGGTTCTCCCTCATGTCCAGGATCCTGGCCCCACATGGGTCCCAGGCACCACGTGACGCACACAACTAGACGCGCCGCGTGTATTTGGCTGAAAGAGGCGACGTTATTTGTCCATAAAATTCACTGGAGTGGAGATTGAGATAGGGCAGGAGCGAGGGGAGATACAGCGCCACAGAGTGGAGGTCACTGCTGGACGGGAGCGGTGATGGGGAGGGAAGGGAATTCAGGGAGGCCTTCGTCCAGCAGTCGGATGGTACAAGCTGACCCTGCGATGTTATAAACAAAACTATTGACACCCTGGAAGGGTCTGCGGGAAAAAAACGTCAAGAAATAAGCTTAAATGATCGCAGGCACATATCGAAGATTAAACGTAAATGTGATGACCAGGCGATAACGGAGTTCTGCTGTTGTGTGTGTGATGTTCACGAGATGGTGGTGCTGGTGAAGCCCCCTGGCTGAACACCGCTCGCTCACTTGAGGTGGGGCAGCTTGTAGAGCACCGTGGGCACCTGCACCAGATGGTCGGCGCTCACCACGAGCGTGCGCAGCTCACCCATGTCGCTGAGCGCCAGGGGCAGGTAGCGGATGCTGTTGTGATGCAGCAGCATGGTCTCCACTCGCTCGAGCCTGCGGGCAAGGGACAGCGGTGCTACTCGGTGCCCTCCACCATCCGCAGCAGTGGCACCAGCCTGGTGTCTTGTGAGGCTGAAAACCACGCGAGCGCTCGCTCCCACGTTTGGTGCATCACCTTACGCAATAGATTCCACTGTAACACCCCCATTGAGAACCTTAAATTAAACATTTTATTGATATGTCAAAATACATCGATTGTCTTCATTATTAATGTAGGGCCCTCTGAAAAGCTTCACGCTTTAAAACCACAATCCCCTTGGGTGTCGACATCCACCTCTGTATTTGTGTAATGATCACGCTGTCTCTGCGGGATATTATTGCTGTAACATCACTGCACTGCGAACGTTTTAAAAAGTTACTTGTCGGAGCCAATTTGCGTTATGGGGTGTTATCTTCAACGTAAATAAATATATTTTCCATTAATATGGTGCTTTGTCAAATGTTTTCTAGGCTAGTTAATAGCATGGCAATTATTTGATGACATTGATTTATCCATTTTAATAATTAATTAGATCATGACTTATAATAGCGGTGTAGATGGTCATGTGATTCGGAAGGCCTATGACAGGATTATGTCGAGGGGACTGCAGCTGAACTCTTGAGCGATATTTATTTGTATTGGAAGTACAGGAAAGCACAGGAACAATGCATACAAATATGAAATGCAGAGTTATGGGAAACGGACACGGTAATCATATCGTGAAATTTGATATACAGTATGGTAGCAATGTGAAAAATATCACGGCAAAGCACAGCAAGCACATGCGACTACCACCGTGGCCTGACCTGTCAATGTCCTGGGGCAGTTCATGCAGCCGGTTCTTGCTCATGTCCAGCCACTGGAGACCACTCATGCGTAACACGGCGATCGGCACGGACGAAAACTTGTTCACCGACAGATCGAGCAGCACCAGCTTCTTCAGAGAGCTCAGCTGGGGCCACAGAAAGAACAGACGGATCAGATTCGCAGGGCACCGAGGTGTGTGGAATTGTCGGTTTAGTGAACTGTACAGGGTACACAATCCTTGCACTGGATGTGGGCGGTTCATCGCGGGTGTCATTTAGCCACTGCAAATCAAACAGCATCGAATCGCAAAATCAAACCCCCCGACCAACGCAGTGTCTGGGAACGCGCGCACGTTTGTGACGGCGTCTGTGCACGGGGCGAGTGGGCACCTGGTAGGGCAGCTCCTCCAGGGAGTTGTTGGAGGAGAGGTCGAGCCTCTCCAGGCTCTCGCAGTCCCCCAGCTCCTCGGGGATGCGGCGCAGCTGGTTGTAGCTCAGCAGGAGCTGCTGCAGCCCTTTCAGGAGGCCTGCGTGCCACGTCGTGCATGCAGGCACAGTGACGTGGAGATTATTATTATAGAGCTCGTTTACCCAGCAAAGCTTCTCTCGAGCCTCAAGATTTTTTTTCAAGAGGGTCCTGCCAACTTCGCAGTAGTGAGCGATGTTTTTCCAATAGAGGTATTTTTTTCAGCATTGGAATGTTTGTCCCGAGTTTGAATCCAGGCCACAGATTGAATCAGTAGTGAGTGATATATGCACATGTTGCTGTTAATAATGCATTTAATTATTAAAAATACGGGAAACATTAAACATTAATACAACATAACTAATTAAGAGCTTCATAAAACATATCGAGGGTATGTTTCCACACTTTGTTTTAGATTAATATCCGAAGCAAAGCCATCTTGAGTACGTTGTGGATATTTCCTGATGTGATCACTTCCCATTCCCTGGGTAGGGGAGCCAGCTGACGGTGAAGTTTTAATCGGGGAAACCTCTCAACAGTTTTAGGGGAATGTGGTATCTGGTGGGTTGTGGATGACCAGGAGCCACAGGGAGATAACAACGCAGGCACGACTACTCGTGCCCCATTGGTCCCCTGGAGAGACACCAGGAACCTCGACACAAGGTCCCCGAGGAGGAGCCCGTCGGGTCGATGTGAGCCAGATGCTGAAGGGGTCGGCCACATCCTGAAGCAGTTGAACATTTGTGAAGATCATCTTCCTCGTGACATTACTCGTCACACAAGTGCTGTCATTCCCCTCCATGTGTGGTCCAAGAACAAAGATCCCGCCCCCCCCCCACGCGTATAGCCTATTACATACTGCCGAGGCAAGTGCCATTCAGGTCAGAACAGCACACGAGGGGATGGGTGGCCAGCACGACACCAGGCCGCCTATATCTCCATGGTGATGATGTTTACACATTACACCAGGTACTCTTTTGAGGCCAAGTTGATCTAGGGGCGGCCCAGGACCGGTTCAGATACTCGTCACCAGTGTTGGCCGTTATCGGGTATCGAACTCGGGTCAACGGAACGAATTCGTAGCGCAGCGTGCTAATCGCCACACCGCTGCCAATAACCCAGTAACCACCACACTCACCGATGCCAATAACCCAGTAACCACCACAGTCACCGCTGTCAATAACCCAGTAACCACCACACTCACCGCTGTCAATAACCCAGTAACCACCACACTCACGGCTGGCAGTAACCCAGTAACCGCCACAGTCACCGATGCCAATAACCCAGTAACCACCACACTCACCGCTGCCAACCCAGTAACCACCACACTCACCGCTGCCAATAACCCAGTAACCACACTCACCGCTGTCAATAACCCAGTAACCACCACACTCACCGCTGCCAATAACCCAGTAACCACCACACTTACCGCTGCGAATAACCACACTCACCACTGTCAATAACCCAGTAACCGCCACACTCGCCGCTGCCAATAACCCAGTAACCGCCACACTCACCGCTGCCAATAACCCAGTAACCACACTCACCACTGCCAATAACCCAGTAACCACCACTCACCGCTGCCAATAACCCAGTCACCACACTCACCGCTGCCAATAACTCAGTAACCACACTCACCGCTGCCAATAACCCAGTAACCACCACACCGCTGCCAATAACCCAGTAACCACACTCACCGCTGTCAATAACCCAGTAACCACCACACTCACGGCTGGCAGTAACCCAGTAACCGCCACAATCACCGATGCCAATAACCCAGTAACCACCACACTCACCGCTGCCAACCCAGTAACCACCACACTCACCGCTGCCAATAACCCAGTAACCACCACACTCACCGCTGCCAATAACCCAGTAACCACACTCACCGCTGCCAATAACCCAGTAACCACCACACTTACCGCTGCGAATAACCACACTCACCACTGTCAATAACCCAGTAACCGCCACACTCGCCGCTGCCAATAACCCAGTAACCACCACACTTACCGCTGCGAATAACCACACTCACCACTGTCAATAACCCAGTAACCGCCACACTCACCGCTGCCAATAACCCAGTAACCACACTCACCGCTGCCAATAACCCAGTAACCACCACTCACCGCTACCAATAACCCAGTCACCACACTCACCGCTGCCAATAACTCAGTAACCACACTCACCGCTGCCAATAACCCAGTAACCACCACACCGCTGCCAATAACCCAGTAACCACACTCACCGCTGTCAATAACCCAGTAACCACACTCACCGCTGTCAATAGCCCAGTAACCACCACTCACCGCTGCCAATAACCCAGTCACCACCACACACACTGCTGCCAGTAACCCAGTAACCGCCACACTCACAGCTTTCAATAACCCAGTAACCACCACACTCACTGCTGCCAATAACCCAGTAACCACACTCACTGCTGCCAATAACCCAGTAACCACACTCGCCGCTGTCAATAACCCAGTAACCACCACACTCACCGCTGTCAATAACCCAGTAACCACCACACTCACCGCTGACAATAACCCAGTAACCACCACACTCACCACTGCCAATAACCCAGTAACCACACTCACCGCTGCCAATAACCCAGTAACCAGCACACTCACCGCTGCCAGTAACCCAGTAACCACCACACTCGCTGCTGCCAGTAACCCAGTAACCACCACACTCACCGCTGCCAGTAACCGCCACACTCACCGCTGCCAATAACCCAGTAACCACCACACTCGCCGCTGCCAGTAACCCAGTAACCACCACACTCGCCGCTGCCAATAACCCAGTAACCACCACACCAACCGCTGTCTAACCCAGTAACCACCACACACACCGCTGCCAGTAACCGCCACACTCACCGCTGTCAATAACCCAGTAGCCACCACACTCACCGCTGCCAATAACCCAGTAGCCACCACACTCACCGCTGCCAATAACCCAGTAACCACCTCACTCACCGCTGCCAGTAACCCAGTAACCACCACACTCACCGCTGCCAATAACCCAGTAACCACCACACTCACCGCTGCCAATAACCCAGTAACCACCACACTCACCGCTACCAGTAACCCAGTAACCACCACACTCACCGCTGTCAATAACCCAGTAACCACCACACTCACCGCTGCCAATAACCCAGTAACCACCACACTCACTGCTGCCAGTAACCCAGTAACCACCACTCTCACTGCTGCCAGTAACCCAGTAACCACCACACTCACTGCTGCCAGTAACCCAGTAACCACCACACTCACTGCTGTCAATAACCCAGTAACCACCACACTCACCGCTGCCAATAACCCAGTAACCACCACACTCACCGCTGCCAATAACCCAGTAACCACCACACTCACCGCTGCCAGTAACCTAGTAACCACCACACACACCGCTGCCAATAACCCAGTAACCACCACACTCGCCGCTGCCAGTAACCCAGTAACCACCACACACACCGCTGCCAATAACCCAGTAACCACCACACCAACCGCTGCCAGTAACCCAGTAACCACCACACTCACCGCTGCCAGTAACCCAGTAACCACCACACTCACCGCTGCCAATAACCCAGTAACCACCACACTCACCGCTGCCAATAACCCAGTAACCACCTCACTCACCGCTGCCAGTAACCCAGTAACCACCACACTCACCGCTGCCAATAACCCAGTAACCACCACACTCACCGCTGCCAATAACCCAGTAACCACCACACTCACCGCTACCAGTAACCCAGTAACCACCACACTCACCGCTGTCAATAACCCAGTAACCACCACACTCACCGCTGCCAATAACCCAGTAACCACCACACTCACTGCTGCCAGTAACCCAGTAACCACCACTCTCACTGCTGCCAGTAACCCAGTAACCACCACACTCACTGCTGCCAGTAACCCAGTAACCACCACACTCACTGCTGTCAATAACCCAGTAACCACCACACTCACCGCTGACAATAACCCAGTAACCACACTCGCCGCTGCCAGTAACCCAGTAACCACCACACTCACCGCTGCCAATAACCCAGTAACCACCACACTCGCCGCTGCCAGTAACCTAGTAACCACCACACACCGCTGCCAATAACCCAGTAACCACCACACTCGCCGCTGCCAGTAACCCAGTAACCACCACACACACCGCTGCCAATAACCCAGTAACCACCACACCAACCGCTGCCAGTAACCCAGTAACCACCACACTTCCCGCTGCCACTAACCCAGTAACCACCACACTCACCGCTGCCAGTAACCCAGTAACCACCACACTCACCGCTGCCAGTAACCCAGTAACCACCACACTCACCGCTGCCAGTAACCCAGTAACCACCACACTCACCGCTGCCAATAACCAGTAACCACCACACTCGCCGCTGCCAGTAACCCAGTAACCACCACACACACCGCTGCCAATAACCAGTAACCACCACACCAACCGCTGCCAATAACCCAGTAATAGAACGAGGGTCAGGCCTGGCTGGCTCCCTCGTGAGCGAGGCAAGGCCGCGCTCTTTGCGGCCGCGCTCTGCGGCGCTCGAGGGCTCTGCCGCGCAGCTGGCGACTGTCGCAGCTGGCAAGGGGCGCCTCTCTCTTATTTTTGGTCTCTCCCGCTGGCCACGCTGCCACAAGTGGAGATGACTTCTCTTGCGAAACACTTATTGACGCCATACACATACAACATATTGCTGTGAATAATCTTTTTTTTTACCTATGCCGATTATTTTACCGAGGAGAGCCTCACTTGAGTCGCAAGACTCCTTTTTGGAGGAGGAGGCTCCTCCTGCCTTTTCATGTTTGGCAAAACACCGAGAGGCGTGTGGAGGCGACAACACTAAGCCAGCCTCTGCCACAGCCCCTTCCCACCAGCAGGCTGAAGCATGGTCACAGGGACTGCAGTGACTGCCACGGCGTGGGGAGGAGGTCTCTATCCAGTAGCAGAACGACAAAGGGCTGAACGAGTTAAGAACCAAAGCTTGAGACATCAGTAAAAACTACGCAATGGAAGAATGGTGGACTATGTCCTATTAACGTGAATGGTGGACTATGGCCTATTAACGTGAATGGTGGACTATGTCCTATTAACGTGAATGGTCGACTATGTCCTATTAACGTGAATGGTCGACTATGTCCTATTAACGTGAATGGTGGACTATGTCCTATTAACGTGAATGGTGGACTATGTCCTATTAACGTGAGGCTTACGAGCAGAGATGATAACAGCCCGTGGTGGTTGGTGGCGAGCTGTAGACGCGTTCCTGAGATCGGGTCTTGCGTGGTTTACTAAAGAGAAATCTCTTATTCAAATAGTAATCTCTTTACTCAAGAGATTAGAGATTACTTTTAATAAGATTACTCTTTAGTAAGCGATCACTCTTTAAGAGATTACTATTTAGTGATAGATTAGTCTTGAGTAATCTATTACTAAATAGTAATCTCTTAAATAGTGATCTCTTACTAAAGAGTAATCTATTACCAAAGAGTACATTACTAAAGCGTAATCTCTTTGCAGCATTCGATGTCTATTTCAGTAATAGACAAATCTATTTCCATCCTCAGCTGACTTCTCCAGCCAAATGGCGTAAACATGCAGGCACGTGCCGAGATCCGAGACACCGCGACTTACACCCCTTCCCTGAGTTATGATTGCAGACGGGTTTCACTGCTCTTGCACTCCAAGCCGATTATCAGCTTCGGGATCGTTGCAACACAGACTTATCAGAATATCACTCAACCGCACGAATGGCACAGCAAGAGAAAGTTGTGTTACAGGATCGGGAGTCATTTTCGGAGAGTTGGTGACCCCCAGGCCACTGCCGATGTGGGTAGGCTGACCTACAAGTTATTTCTGACTGCCTCCGCGTGTCCGCCGAGTGTTGCGGGACTAATCCAAAATGTCCTTTAAGACGAACCGAAGATAATGTTGACTTTGAGAATGTCGGTATATTCTTCACACAGTCATAACATAACTTCTGTTTAAGGCACAAAAACAAGGCACAATTGAAACCCTACGTCGTTCAGGTAATGCAAAATGTTCACCTATTTCTTTGGGAAGCTCCTGAAGGCAGTTTTTGGACAGATCCAGGGTTTGCAGCCTTTGGAAGTTCGCCACGAAACGCGGAAGAACGTGGAGGCGGCTGTTGAGGACGCGGAGCTCGTTGAGGTCGACCATGTCCTGCAAGGACTGAGGCAGAGCCTGGGCCAGGCGGAGGCGTCGTTCAGCGCAGGCACGCGGCAGGCACGCGGCACTCACGGCGCATCGCGGGTCCCTGCGATAGTCCCAGGGAGAGTCCCCACGAGGGCCCGCGAGAGTCCCCACGAGAGTCCCAGGGAGAGTCCCAGGGAGAGTCCCAGGGAGAGTCCCAGGGAGAGTCCCAGGGAGAGTCCCAGGGAGAGTCCCAGGGAGAGTCCCAGGGAGAGTGCCAGGGAGAGTGCCAGGGAGAGTGCCAGGGAGAGTGCCAGGGAGAGTGCCAGGGAGAGTCCCCGGGAGAGTCCCCGGGAGAGTCCCCGGGAGAGTCCCCGGGAGAGTCCCCGGGAGTGTCCCAGGGAGAGTCCCAGGGAGAGTCCCAGAGAGAGTCCCAGGGAGAGTCCCAGGGAGAGTCCCCACGAGAGTCCCAGGGAGAGTCCCAGGGAGAGTCCCAGAGAGAGTCCCAGGGAGAGTCCCAGGGAGAGTCCCAGGGAGAGCCCCACGAGAGTCCCAGGGAGAGTCCCCACGAGAGTCCCCACAAGAGTCCCCACAAGAGTCCCAACAAGAGTCCCCACAAGAGTCCCAGGGAGAGTCCCAGGGAGAGCCCCACGAGAGTCCCACGAGAGTCCCCGGGAGAGTCCCCACGAGTCCCTGTCCACCCAGCGGTGTTAATGCCCTACGGACCAGGGGACCAGAGTTCAATTCCTGTCCACGGATAACCTGGACCCCCTCTCGCTTACCAACCTACACGAAATGGTGAAGTATGGTCAAAACCCCCCATGGTTGACACGGTGCAGGAAGACCTTGATCCAGCAGTGGAATTACAAAGGACTGGGAGTTGTGATTTTGTAAATAGATAGAAATACATAACAATATTATATGCATGAAAAGAAGCATCAACTGGTCAATGAAAATTGATTATGCTAATCATACACACATCGCGTGTCAAAATTGATTATTTAAGATTAATGCAAATGATATGCTGTTACAATTAGGCTAATGGCGAAACGTCGTACTCAGATTGTAAATGTTGTGGCTTGGCTCTCCAACACACCGGTGTGCTGTACTAGTGACCAATTGGCACGTTCTGTTTACGTGACAATCTTTACTAGTTGGCTGTCGGGTGGTGGCGGGTTTTAACGACACATTTATATATTTACGCGATCCAAACCTAAAAAACAATTTTATGGATGATATTGGTCGCGAAAGCCTCGTACGTGTTAAACGAGGCGAATGGAGCAAAAAAAAAACCACAGCTGTGAGCCGAGACGCTCCGCCTCCAGCCGAGCGCTCGCCACTCTCTTTCATCCGGGGGGGGCGAGACTCCGAGTCGAGGGCCGCGGCGCTGCCGTCCCAGCGCCTCCGAGCCCTGGGTCACCCCCCCACCCCGTTGTGACCAAGTGAACGTGACACTCGCTCGAGAGGTTCACCGCTTGACTCGAGAGTTCATGCTACGGAAATGCATCCAAACCGCGGCGATTTCGCATTTCGCTTCGTCCTCTCGGCCCGCGTGGCCCGTGTGGCCCGTGTGGCGGCGCTCACCCTCCAGTCCTCCCCCTCCACACGGAGCGCCACGTGGCTCTCGTCCCGCGTCACTTTCTTCTTCACCGCCGCGATATCCACGTGCGTATGCCACTCTGCCCGTAATCTGGCGCGCGCGCAGAGTCACCACGTACACAGCCTCATCATCACTTGGTGTGCCATCAATCGCATCGGAACATCAAAAACAGGCCGATGCGTACTTCTCTCCTTCATGAAATGTAAAATGAAAGACAAGCCACAGAATTGATATTGTGGCCATGCAACTCGGAACTTTGGAGCGTACAGTAAACCACGAGTCTGCACTCCTTCAACAGCAAAACGAGGCGAACCCTCTCACTGCTGATGTCCTCTAGTGGCCAACTGACCTCGACATTCACCAGTGGCTGTCCTATGAATATACAGCACAACCCCCCCCCCCCCCCCCAAAGTAATGTGGAATTTCCAGGGCTGTAAAAAAGCGGGCACCGAGCACCGCCTCAATGCGAGTTTGAGCTCGGCATCGCCGACTTCATAAACCAGATGTCGCCATCGCCCGTGTTGGCAGACGACAGCCAGAGTTGCAGGCGCTGCACAGGCACAGCTGCCTGTGGGGTCAAAAAAGACTGCAGCAAAGGATTGTAATGGTTGAGATGCGACGCGAGAGGGTTGATGCGGCGTTGAAGCCCGCGGCGCGTGCGACTCCTCGCGGGCTGGTGGAGTCTGCTAAGCGGCAGTCCCCACCTCTCAATGGCGCTCCTGGCCTTGCGCTCCTGCTCCCGCTGCTGTCGGACTTTCTGCTTGCTGATGCGGCTCTCCCACATGGCGCGGATCTGCGACACTCCCGTGTACATCACCTTCGCCATGTTCACCATGGAGAGAGTAATCCTGCAAGATGACATGTGTTCTCTACTGCGCCTGTTGACTCAGGAACGTGTCCCCGAGTCTCAACTCGTTCGTTTTATAGGAGGGGCGATGCTGCTGCATGTCATCCCCAATGAGTCATTTGCAGGTATTGTTTAAGCATTGGGATGTTTGCTCACACCAGGTATGTTTTATTTTAGCTATGGGAGGAAACCGGAGAACAGAGGGAGAGAATACGAACTCCACACAGAAGAAAGGCGCCCAAGTCAGGGAATCGAACCCAGGGGCTTCTTGCTGCGAGGCAGGAGCGTGACCACAGCGCCACCAACCTTGTCGCCGATTGACATTTCAAACTTTTTAATACATTAGACTCGCACACAAAATATTACAAAGTATATCAGAAATCCAATGGTTTTTTTACGATGCATTTTGCACTTTGTAAAAATGTGCATTTATGTATAGTACACAATTATACAATGACACATGCACTGAAAACCTGGCAGTCTCCCACATTACAGAGATAACGTTCCCCCATATAGCCTTAACAGGCTGTTGGCGCAAGTGCTGTTAGCGAGCACCTGTGCAGCCCAGAAGTGAACGCGAGGACGAATGGCCAGCACCACACCCGACAGCCTTCGTCTCTCCCCAGTTCTGATGTTTACACATCGCACCAGATGCTCGTTTAAGGCCGAGTCGACCTAGGAGAGGCCTAGGACCTATTCGGATATTCGTAACCGAGGGTTGGTCATAGGCGGGAATCAAACCGCTAAACCCAGCACCCTGTGCCCACACGCGCGTACGTTACCCCCCACACGCCACCACACCACGTGCACTCCCCCAGTCGCGAGTAAGTGAACAAACCCGCCAGCGAGTCGCCAGGCTGACGTAATGCATCGTCGCTGCGAGGAGCTTATTCTGCCCCGTGGTATGGCGGGTGTGGAACAGCATGGCAGGCCGTGCCTTGCATTTCACGATCATGCCACAAAATAGCCCCGAAGAGCAGGGGCTATCGGAGAGACAGCACAAAGGTCACCGCAGTTCGACCTGATTGGAAATGTCCTCATCGACAAATCTCTTACTCCCCACTGCTGATGTCACTGCTAACAAGACCGGCTCCGCTCAATATTCAAGTCTAGCGATTTGACTGCTCAAATAACCCTTGCAGCGGTGCTCAGGTCCTGCCCCGAGCCAGTGGTGGAAATTTCCAATTGCGATTGCTGGGGTGAGTCTATCCAAAGGACAAGGACGAAGTGGTTCTAATTTGATCGATTCCAGGGGGGTGATGGGCCAAGTCAACCCCCAGCAAGTTGAACTCTCAACCTTCTGATCACTCTACCGCTAAGCCACCTCCATTGAGCGGTAATCGCCCCCAGTTTCACGAGGTGACATCAATAAATGTCATCAGATACATTACATGGACGGAATTTTAATTATGCACTCCTTTGTTACAATTATTTGTAATTATCATTACATATGATACGTGCCAGTTGAATGCAAAATTGTGATATGGTAATTTTACGTTTAGGCTAAAGGACGACAAAACAAAATGAGAAAAACGCACATGGTGAGGCTCTGCCATTGTTGGCATCGCTAAGTATCACGTTCTCACCTCTCGTACGGTATTTTTTTTTCTATACTGAATTTTTATAATCAGTTAAATATTTAAATCAATGGATGTTTTAACAGGCGTAGTGTAACACAGGATTATTTTTAAACACACTGTATCCTTCCATTGTTCTATTTTTGAGTATGATAGCAACAGGAGTAGGTACAGGAGCTAAATGCCAACGTGGAGGACCACGACGAGAAGGCTTCAAAGGGAGCGAGTCCGTGGTGGTGTTTTGCCATTCCGCCTTCAGCAAAGGAGCGCAGCAGCCCCATGCAATGCCCACGTCTCCCTCGGTAAAAAACAAATCGCATATTAATGAGTATGACAACTCAGCTATAAATACACAACTGTGCACACGTGCGAATGTGGCGGCACACGTTCTTGTGTCTAATCTGATGCCACTAACGACTCGCTCGCACACAGCGTAGATAACGCATCACTCGCCTCGCTGTGGAAAAACAGAAGACAAAACGCGTTATCCTCACACGTCTGTCCCTTCCCATAAAACATGACCTTATTTCTCCTGGGAGTTCATCTCAACATTAGTTTAATACAAGCTCTAAACTCTGGCCCGGTTTTGATTTCAGTATCTCATCGGCAGTCAGGCTTACTTGAACCCACGCTGCTGGTTCAGTCTCACTAGAGACGCGACTCCAGCGTGGGGGGGAGGGGGGGCCTTGAGAATCTCACCGCGACACTCACTCACCGCGACACTCACCGGCACGGGCAGCAGCAGCAGCAGCTGGGACATGAGCGGCGGCGGTACTGCCGCGCGTCGACAGAAGCGGAGTGTCTCGGCCCGTGCCACGGAGCCCAGTGCGGGAAGCAAACGTGGACCGTAAACAGATCAAGGTGTCCCTCGCTGCACGAGAGCTGCTCTAATTATAAACCGTGAGGCAGGGCGCACGCGGCCCTGGCATAGTGCGGCAACTGAGTCACGAATGCCCAGCGAGGTTCCGTCGTCAACCCTTGCCGCCCGGCCACGCCGGGGCAATGCCCCCCGCTCTCTCGCCTCCTCGTGCCGACTCAAGCGGACACCGATCGCGAGGAGGGCCGCCTGCGGCCCGCGACGAACAGAACAACCCGGACACGTCATGGGACGGAGACATGTTAAATTGTAGAGATGTGGTTTCATGTTTTACGTGGAGAAACAGGATATGGGAAGGAGGCGGATCGTCTCATTGTTTCGTTATGTTCTCCACGACGACGCGAGTGACTGTTCTGCGTTGTGCGAGCTTCGTGTCAAACTAGGACCCATATCTAACAGAGCAACGGGGTTCTTGCCTGTACACATCTGGCAGTTCACCAGCATTGGCTTAATAAAACTGGATTCTGCTGACTAGATGCTGGGCATTGAAGCCAGTCCATTCTGCTTGTATTGAACTCGGGTTGTTAATTGGTTAATTTTGCATTTCAAGTATCCGCATGAAAAACCGGTTAAACTACTCGTTACCGGTTTGACGCAAATATAGGCAGACACGTTTAGCAACAACCATAACACGTTTTAGTTTTTAACTGAGAAACAGAGGGAGCTGCCGTGTGATAATGGTGACCGAACTGGACTTGCAGTCCAGGAGCTCCTCCCGTTCGATTCCATCCCCCGGCGCAGCACAACGCATATGGTGGGGTAAAGTGTGGGTACACCCACCTTGTCAACGTCCATGCGGGGAAGGTCTCTAAACTCGAGGACGTCTAGCGGCCTCTAGTGGAGGCCCAGCCAGCAGCAGTGGCATGAGCAGGATATTGCTGGGCTGCACCTTTACAATTGAACGAAGACACGAGGGCAATTGGTGTATTCATGACGTAGCATTCCACTGGAATCTGTGACCGCTTCCCGACTTACGGGACTGGATTCTGGTGATCATTCAACATCCCTGTGCTTTGAGAAAATTCACTCAGAGGGTGGTGTAAAAATAAAAAGTATTACTTCGTGTAGAGAGACCATGTATAAATGAGATGTGCAATGTCTCACCGAGTTACAAACACAGCATTTGATAGACAATTTACAAAGCATTTATTATCAGCAACCAGCCAATGTGTGTTCACTACTTTGTACAAAAAATATATACAGTACTTGCAACCACTTTTCAATGAAGCTGAAAAATCACGAAAATATAATATTCTTACAAAATAGCATGAGTACAAGTATGAATGTGATCAATGATAAACATTACAAAACCATGCACTTTAAAGCACAATACGAGTTTTCGCGGTTGTGCTGCGGAGAGAAGCTCCAAGCAGGTGCAGCGGAACATCGGACATCGTGCCAAACACCGTATCACCCGGACCCGCAGCGGGGAAGCGGTGAGTCGTTCTTCAGGTCATGCTACGTGCATCATGGACCCGTTCCTCAGACTGGAAAATTATAATTTATCTAATTTTTGTCAACAACAAAGACCACACAGGCCATTGTTTCCATTACCAAATACTGGGCAAATCGCAAAGGCAAATGTGAATATGGGTTTTTCATTTAAATATAATAAACCAGTGTTCATGTGAAGTCAACTCTTTAGGAACTACCATTTAAAGAGATTATGGAAGAAATATCACCAATGTGCCCCCCTCGGTAAATGGCACAGAACTGTTACAAATGAGATTGTAGTTGTTGACTCAATTTTAAGTTGAGCATCACAACTCTGCCTAAACTCACGAACACAAGTCAACAAGGGCTGCTGCGCCACTCGTAGCAGCGCGTGCACGTGGGTGTGTACACACACACGTGGGCACGTGCGCGTACACACGTGTGCGCGTACACACGTGCGTGTAGCGAGGCTCTGAGTTACCACTCGGCGTCGCCGGCGAGTTTGGAGAAGAAATAGTCCAGTCCATCGAGGTTCATGATGCCGTCCTTAAAATGGAACTTCCATTTGTTCTTGCTTCGATGAATCTGAAAGTCAGCAGAGTGAAAAAAATCAACTCATCTCCCCGCTACAGTCTTAACTGCAGCCCATGAAGTCAAGAGAATTGCAGTTGATAAAAAAGACTCACGGATGTAAATGACAAAGTCAGGATGTGCAAGGGCCCAAAAACGTCAATGACCAGCAACAAACAGCATCGTCAAAGTGATATTCGTAAGAACGTAACACACGGTTTTTTTTATTTGGGCAGGGTTATTGTTACGAGAGCTGGAGAAGAGAGACGGCGATGGGAGGAGGGCATCCCAGACTGAGAGAGTGCGGGGGAAAAATCAGAGTGCCAAGTGGGGCGAGACCTGCAGTGCCGTGGTGGTTGTGGTGAACGCAGTGTCGCCATACCTTGTCGTACTGACACACCACCACGTTATCAACATCAAACATCTCAGAATTGTCCTGCTCGCTCACATCGTCCCCGGAGTTGAGGGGGTCCTGCCGGGAGAAGTGGGGCACAGGGGAAGACGGGGGGGGGGGGGGGCGGGGGAATTTACGAGCTGCACCGCGGGTTGCGCACTGCGCTCGATGGGCAATGGGGCCTCGGGGTCGTTGGTCGCGGACGCTCCAGTTGTGCTTCATTGCTCTAACCTCGGTTTTATTTGTTTTGCTTTTGTCATTTTGGTGACCAAAACTACAAACACCATTACGGTCTCTCGTGACCTCACGTGGTTAAACATGAACCTGAAACTTCTGGTGATTTTTAACAACTTTACCTTATAAGGCAGTGAGATACTGGACATGACGGCCTAGTCTCTCACTTCCATCCTGACGTACTTGGTAATTGCTCGATGCTTTGTCGTGGATTTGAGTTCGTTCCGAGATGGCGACTGCTCACAGGCACTAGTAAATTGGTTTTGTTTTGCCCTTTATGGTAAAATCACCGAAACGCGAGACCTCAGAGGCCAACCCCCATTGTTGTTCTGCACTCCCCTCACAATCATCATCCCACACTGACCAGCATGGCGAAGTATGGGCAACTCCCAAACAGTCGATTGACAGAACGGCTGTACACGTGCATACTGCTTCGTTAACGAGGTGTTCCTTTGAAAAGGGTTATCCTCCTCGACGGCTCCCGCCTGACTTAAAGGACGTGTAATGTGTCTGCATCCTTACTGCGCAGTAAATATATTAGTAAGCCACTGCACTTGTACCAAAAGACGTGGTTCACTTGGACCGATGTGTATGGACACGTCATGCACGGCACTAAGAATGTTTACAAGACAATGAGAAACAAGCAAAACAGAATGTGCAGGTTTTCCCACCTTCTAAAACCTGACCGGCGTGAAAGAGTAGGCCAAATACCCTCTCGTAGGACTCCCTGGAGCTGTCAGTAGCGGAGGCCCTCCTGCTAGCGGTGGTGCGAGCAAGCAGTTGCAGGGCTGCACCTTTTTCCAAGCGGAATGTTCACACGGCGCATGACAGAACCACGAACCGCATCGGCAAAACAACGCCTGGGGGTCAAATACCTCCTCCACAACGAGCTCCTCTTCCAGGAACTTGGCGTCCATGTCGTCCACCCCGTCGCTGTCGTCGCTGCTCGTGGTGGTTGTGCTGCTCAGGTCATGACCCTCGGGCTCCTCGGAGCTGTCTTCAGCACCGTCTAGCTGCAGGAGCAAGGGCAGCTCGTCTGCATCTCGTCGCGCCTTCTCCGAGCCGAAGCTGGTGCCGCAGGGTTTCAGGCCACAGACTTTTGGCTCCTCCTTGACATTCAGCACACCGTCAAAGTCAAAGTCCATCTGGAAGTCGCCTTGAGCGTGGTGCGACAGAGCCCCCAGAGATTCCAGGCCGATTGCGGCGTGCGTAGTGAAGCTGTCGGGATCTATTAACCGCGGTGAGGTTTCGAATTGCAGGTCTTCCAGCAAGTTCTCCGCATCGCTGGAATGTAAAGTCAATGTCCCTTGAGTACAGGATCAAGACATAACAACAGATGATGTACGGTACATCACAAATCCGACCAGCTATAGGCGAATCCAAAAGTTAGAGGGAATGTACCTTTACACCACCAAGCACAAACACAGCACTGGGCGCTGGCAGCTACTTCGTCAGGGTGGATACGTGACATTGTACTGCATTGTACATTACACTGTTCATGCATCATTAGACCTCCTTTGCCAGTACCAAAATATAATAATAGGGTTTTTTTCCCCTTTTTTCTGGCAACAAAACTGAAACCTTTTACAAGGAATCATGTGTGCATTAACCACAATACTTGTGGCCAAAATACGAACAAAAAACACACTATGATAATATATGCATTGTCCTTGAAACTGATTGATCCACACCATGGACGGCTTTCTTTTGAGCCTCGACCCAATTGGTGCTAGACCAATTGGTGACGGAAACCAAACAAACCCAATTGGTGTTAGACCAGAGGACGCCAAAAGGCACCAAAAGGCGTCCTCTGGTCTAGCATAAGAAGGGAACGTCCCACTAAAGTGGACATCGCAGAACTACTTCTGACTAACATGACGGTTTTCACATGTTTGAAACGAGTGTGTTCTAGTCTGCTCATCAATCCGATATTCTAAATGAACTCAACACTGCTGACATGCTTTATACTGTTCTACAGAACAAGCAGCAAGCTTTGTCAGTCGACAGCTGCAGGGCACCTGTTGAGCAGATAGAGGCGATCGTCTCCCAGAGCAGCAGCAGCAGCAGCGCTGCCCTCCGCGACATTGGGGAACGGCTCCCCCTCACCCCACGACTCCAGGCTGGGCTCACACTCTTGTACTCTGGGCGCCACCTCTGACCCCACTCCTCCAGCTGCCGCCGCTGCTGCCGCTGCTCCCTCTTGCGGTGCCGCACTCCCGTCGAGCTCCAGCAGCAGCTGCGGCTCCAGCAGCGAGTCGAGGTAATCGGGATCCGACATCGCCGACAAGTCCATCGCTCCTCGTCCTTCCTGTAGAATGTCATTCCGGACATACAGTACCCTGGTGTCTACAAACTAAGTTGCCTCTGTGGTAGTAGTTACATTGGAGAAACCAAACGCCATGTCTCGGACCGCATTCGTGAACACAAAGCAGACCTTAAACACGGTAGGACCAACACCTCGGCCGTGGCAGATCATTGTTATAATTCAGTAGGCTCACATGATATTGATTTTTCCAAGACAGAGGTTCTTTGTAAGCCATCTGGCTACCATGAGAGATTCGTTCATGAGGCTATCCACATATACAAGCAGAGACAATTTCAACCGAGCAGATGGATTCTGGCTTAGCAATCATTGGAAAGATTTAATAAACCATTTCAGGTCTTAATTGATTGTTCACGCTTACAGTGGCTTTCAGACAGCATACAACATTAATTTTTCGTCTCCCCCTCCTCTTTTCAGAACATAGATGGACTAGTCCTTCTAAATAAACTGCCAATCGCTGCGCGTGGCGCTGACGTTTTTTATAGATAAATAAATACACCGTTTAAAATAAATAAATTTATGCAAACCGACACACCTGATGACGACCGTTTGTGTTATGGTCGAAACGTCGTGGAAATTTTTATTGTTTTATATATATTTTATTATTTTATTGTTTCCCTTCAACGTGACTTTACAGAAAGAGCTAAGAATATGAATTACTGCAGTCACGAAAGCTTTAAATCAAAATTTAACGGCCCTAGCGTCTCCGTCCCCGCGCTGCCCCAGGGGGACGGAGACGTTCCAGACTCACGAGCTGCGGTGGACCCCTCTCTCCCCTCTTACAGGGGCCGATGTCCGCTACGTTGGGACGTCATGCCGAAGGCGCGGTGAACTTCTTCAGAAATCGATTCAGTTCTGATTCAAGAACCGATTCGGTTACGATTTCGTTCCTGAAAAGGCTCCCAACAAGTGGAGCGAAATGTCGCACATCACGCCGCATGACCCGAAAGAAAACAAATCGGAGCAGGGGCAATTCCATATTCTGTGACGTCAGTAGTTGTCACGGCGCACTCTGGCTGCGTGACATTGGACCTCTCTCCATCCCCATGCACGTCTCTGTTTAAATCTTCTCCACGAACTGCCGACACTGTTCAATCCATGCTCGTGGCTTGCGGCTCCCGAGCGAGGCCCTGTGAGCCGCCGGCTTACCTTATGTGCGCTCACACAGCCGGTGACGGCCAGCTCCAGCTCCTCCAGCACGGCCAGTTGGCTGGCGCTCCTCTGCAGGGATGCCAGCTCGCGCTGGGGGGGCACGCACAGGCACGGCGAGACGCCACTCGCGAAATTACACCGCTCGCGCTCAAGCACTTTGTCAGGAGAGTTTGAGATGCATCCAGGAGCTACGTCGAGACACTGCAATCAGCGCACCTGGCAGTTGGGTGGAAAAGGAGGCTACGCGCGTTAGGCTCCAGCAAGTCTGAACATGTTATTGTGCACTCTCACGGGTCCGGTCCATCCCGAATGCGCGCAATGATCGTTACACCCTCGCTACCAGGAAAATTGCGATCGTTGGATAATTCACTTGCGAGACGTTGGAACGGGCAACAGCACTTTGTAGACATAGTCACATGATTAAATCACTGGTCCTTGGTTTCGGGTCCAGGTTCAGATAAATTACATGTTATCATTTGTGCATGAACCAAGCCAGGTGGTCCAGCGGTATGAGTGAACGGCTTGCACCAATCAGAAGGTTGAGTTCTAATCCTGGCTGGGGGGAGGGTGGCGGGGGTTTGACTCAGCCCCATCACCTGACGAGAGTCAATAACTTGGATGGGGAAGTCACCAGTGGCTGTTCCATGGATAGAAATCGCCCCCTCCAGTAAAATCATGTAAATGGCACTGTAGGATAATCATTAAATTGTACATGCACAAAAGTTCAGATTTCTGCTCACAAGCAAGGAGTTTTCCTGTCCTCCCATCGACATCTCTGCTGGACTACTACGTTCATAGATGTCGTGTTCTTCTCCAGCCTTCAACTGGACCCACACTGTCTTCTTGCAGCTATGGTTCCCAATTGTTTAAGTTTCTAAATTGATTTGAAAAGTTAAACTACAAGATAGAATAAGTGGAGAATCGTTACCCAGTCAACATTGCAGCCGATGGCTCGATCTAAAATGCAGCGGTGTAAAGATTGTCACCAGCAGCACCAGTGTCCTGTGAGAGCCACAAAGATTGTCACAAGGAGCACGAGTGTCCTGTGAGAGCCACACAGATTGTCACGAGGAGCACGAGTGTCCTGTGAGAGCCACAAAAGAGGCTCCATAGAAGTGTTAAGTCAAAAAATTGTAGAATCTTAACCGGCGCTTGTTAAATAAAAACCTTTATCCCAAGTCACTGGAGATGCTTCACCATTCGCTGTCAATGCTGAAAAATGGATGCTCAACGAGGCAAATTCGGCATTCGTGAACTGGAAAAAGCGTGGATGGTGTCGATTATGTCGCGAACCACCGGCGCGTGGAGGCTGCGGTGGTGCCGCGACTTCAGCGCCGCGTCTCTCCACTCGGCGTGCGGCAGCAACCGGCAACGCCTGGCACTGCTGCCGTCAGCGGCGCTGCGGATCAGACATGGGTTTTTTTTTCTTTGTCCAAATCCCAATGAACGAGATGACCAACCCCTTTACGACAACACTTCACTCCATCTCACCTTGTCGACAGCAGATCGGTCCTCGGCGTGCCATCGCTGCTGGATCTTTTCCACTGGCTGCTTGAGATTTGCGGCGTCTCCAGCCGCTGGCGCCGCAGGGCGGGGTGCGCCACGTGGGCCAGGTTCCCGGCCTTGTGGCGGAGGTTGCGTGGCATTGTCCTCCGCACGGTCCAGGGCCTGCGACGTGCGAGGCGCCGGCGCGTGGAGCGCCATGCCGCCGGTGCTCGCAGGCAGGCCCAGCGCGGGCCCAGCCGAGGAGATGGTAAGGTGGCCCAGCTGGATCACCTGCTGGTTCCGCCCATACATGGCGAGTCTGCCATCCGACTGGATGACAACCACCTTCTTGTAGTTGTGGTTTGGATCTGGCATCTGCTCTGTGGAATCGAAAGAAAGGTTGTCTGTGTTATACATTTGGGTGGCAGGGTGGTACAGGGATCGGTACACTTGTGCCTCACGGCAAGAAGAGCCTGGGTTCGATTCCAAACTCAAGCCCACGGAGATGCACATCTCTTGAAGTAATGGAACAGGAAATGAGCCACACTCCGCCATTCTCGTGAAAACGCAGAATTCGTGCAGGGCCTGATTGGTGAAAGTGACTTGAGAAGCGTAAACCCACTCCGGCAATTCCTACCTGCATTGAGAGGCGCTGGTTTTGACATCGCAGGACGCACATTGGTGCATGGCCAGGTCACTGTAGACTCTGCCTGTGGAACACAGCGCATGGAGTCAGCCCAGAAGCAACTTCGAGTCCAGCATTGCTGGCCAAGCCTCAATTACGGCCTCAGTTGGACTCACAGGAGCTTAGCAGCTGCAACTCTTCAGAGCCCCAAATACAGCACTAACCACAATCTAGGTAAGATGATCATCGGGAAATTCACGTAGAATGTTTGTAGTGAACAGATGGTGTGTAGCTCACTACAACCTGTTAATAGCGCTAGTTTACAAACTATTTCAAATGGCAATGGTCCCCATTGTAAGGGTTACGCCAACATCGCAAACAGGTATTGCTTTGACAACGCCCGTAAAAAGGCCTCACCAACTCGTATCCCAACTAAACCATTCCAATGCCCTACTGCAGTCTAGCCAAGGTGACCCCCAGTGGTAGCTATCTACATGTGGCATGTGGTGTATGCAGCACTGGCCTGCAAATGAGTGTTCGTCTGGCAGTCTCTGTGATTCTTCATTTTTATGGAAAATTAAGAGTATCTATGAGAGACTCCGTTGTAAGCGATTTAGCCAAATCATTTTCTTCGGAGAGTTGGTGGATTGCAGATGCACCCACCCACCGCCTTCACGTGTATATTGTGGGCAGTGTAAAATTATGTGGTCCGTGGTTTAGAGTTCGTCGTTGCAGTCGCAGGTTCGCTCCGCTTCTGCGCATCTCACCAAGCGTCATCGGAGTGGATGAGTCGCTGGAACCACGTGCGACTCACCGAGTTGGTCGTGTGCAGCTGGTGGAAGTTCCTGCCATTCTGGGCCACGATGTTTGCTGCAGAGTCAACACGCAGCACACACACGCACGAGTCGAGCACCCCGAGACTTGTGGCTCACAAACTCCGTGCCTAGCTCTCTCAATGTAAACGGCTTTGAAATTCATATTCTTAGGACATTCATTCAATCACTTTTGCCTTTTAAAAGTAGTTTATTTTTTTACAAACATCGCTAGGTACCGGACAACTCCAAGAGGAATTCATGAATTGAAATGAGGACAGCTCAAGGTCGGACGGAGGACCCAAGTCCTGCAACTGGGCAGAGGAGTAACTCTGGCGATGTAGCAGCTTGTGATTCACCAGAGCAACCTTGCCCCATGCTCAGGCCGAATTATTCTCGGCCGGTTTGTGTTTGGCGCAAACTGCAATCAACCGAGCTGGGATGTAAGTAATGCAATGTTTTATGCGTTTTAAAATGGTCAGGGCACCAGGTCTAATTAAATACTTCCACCTAGATAATATCTTTTGATCATAGCATAACAGTGCAATATAGAGTGTCATCTCATTTATCATACAATGTGTCATCTTAATGTCTCACATCGAAGACGTAACTTTGATGTGCACACAATGTGCTTGTAAACGTACATGATTGATACACCGCTGTATTCATTTAAAACACCCAATGGGTTCGAATGTGACGTAAATGAGACCGAGGTTTCAATGTTACCATCTGGAGCGTTATCAAATATCTTGAGTTGATCTCAGACAAAGTACAAAATAATAATCGATACACATCTTGCCTATAGACATCTGAGGAGTTCAGTAGTATTGGTTCAAGCAAACCTGACTGCTGGTGAGACACCGAGTGCCAAAACTAGGTCATAGTTGGTTTGTCGTATTTGTAACCAAATGTTTATGGAATTACACTCCCAGAATGCCATGCGGCTGACGGAATGCGTAACCAAAAGTTGTTTTGTTTGTTTATATGACGGTGTATTGATCGTCTGCAATGTCTTTGGAGTGTCATCAATGGCAGAGAGAAGAGAGGCACACTCCAAATCCCTCAAACCACCCCCCACCTGTCCTGTCACCATATCTACACCACCACTTTTAATAACCCCACTCATTATCATCAACCACTACCATATTATGTACAATTAGTTATTTTTGCTATCTACTTTAGACTAAATTAAGTTCCAAACAATACCGGAACAGACCTCGGTACAAATCAACTCCACCGCCCAAACTGAGATGCCACTTCCCGGACTGTCTGGACCCAACCCGGACAAGTGACCGCCCCACGTGGAGGGGAATGGAATCAGCTGGAAACGCGACATGTGGGAGGAGCAGCCTCACTTGAACACGGGATCTGCAGGAAGTGCACGTGAGCTTTGAGCAGGAGAAGTTGATTGTCGACGGGAAAGCTGCCAACTGCATTCGACTGCAGTAGCTTAAGCTCCCAGAGCTGTAAAGCAATGTTCACGCGCCAGGTTAACAACACACGTGACTGCATCCGTGTCGTCTGTACGGGAGGAGACAAACGCACACGAGGCATTCAGAGGTGATGCCGCTCTCTCGTATGAGCACCGAGGTAGCTTTGCTAAAGTCCAGAGTGTAACTCAGAGATCCGAAACGATGTCAGGCAGCAAAAAGTGTCAAGCTTAACGCTAGAACGGAGGCCTTCATACCAAATATTCGGATTCATTATTGATTTGTGGATCAAATTGCTATCATGGCATTATAATTCATGCAAACCCACGAACCTTTAAGCATCACATAGATGGCATCACACCCAATCCACTGAAGGCTCAAGGCTGGAGGAGATTTAATAATTGTGGCAGGCGCCTGATGATGCTGGTTTTAACTACCGGCAAAACGTCCATACCCAAGTGTTCAGTGTGGATCGCTTCACACCGGTCGTGGTGCTGCTGAATCTATAATACCGTGGCACGTTTGGCCCCGTGACACCTTTATTCATTGGGTGTGTCAGGTGGAGGAGGGTATGACACATTTTACTTTAGCGATTTGACCCTAAAGATAAATTATGAAGTGTCAAGTTTGTTTCACAGTTTATCAACTGCACAGAAGTACAGTATAGCGAGAGTCCGATGTTTATCTCGATGTATCCAAGACAAGCTTTGTGTGCCGTGGGTTTATCCAAAACCCAACACTGACATTGCCACACAGCTGAGCACAACGCTGTGACGTGTCCCGCGGTTGTATAGGACGCAAGCCGAGAGGAAACCAGGAGCACGCTGGTGAAGCGCTCAGACGAGCAGGAGACGCGCCTCGGGCTCCTTCAAGACCTTTCCTCTCAAGGCTTTTCCTCATCCCGCGACAGAGAGAGGAGCTCCACTGGGCTAGCGACAGCAGAACGGAGCGGTCCGGCTGCAGCCCCGTGGTCTGGCACACCCTCTGACTCCGCAGTGTGACAATTTGTGAGTTTAAGATCAGACTAAAGGCATTTATTTTCTCTTTTGTTTAACTTCGTTTAATCTTTGTCTTTGACATCTGCGTTTTCGTCTTAGCTTTGTGATGAATATGGCGTGCGTTATACATCTTAATGTGGGCTGGGCATGCTGCTAGGTTTTTCGCGACCCTTTATGAGACAAAAACAGATCTCCCGTATAGCCTGTATCAGACTGTTGGGGCAAGTACACGCGCACCATTATCCAAAGTACTCGCATCACGATATTGTGGAAATGTGAGAAATTCGACTTACCTTTTTTAGATCTCTTAAGACAGTCTTTTCGACTCCTTCTTCCACAAAAAACTCAATGGAGTTTTCAATCACATCCTCAATTATGGTCCTGTACAACCTCACCTGGATTTACCACAACACATTCATCACGTTCATAGGCACAGAGTTAAATATCGGATTCAACGAGGGTCGCCAACTGTTCCACTGCAGACCAAACCCAGACACATTCCTCAGCAAGTCTAGACCAGGGGTCGGCTCCAGAGCTCTCCAAGAACTGCTTCGTGACGGTCATTTATTCAGGACCGTCTCGTATTCACGTGACGTGCATTGCGGCTCTTGAAATTGAAAGGTTTTTTTTTACGGAATTCGATTTTTTTTATTATTATTTCGGTTGCCCACCCCCGATCTTGGTCTATCGAATAAAGTTCCAGCAGAATCCAACCAGCAGATCGCGGCAAAGATCAATGCCTGCCACCTGACCACGGATCTCTCTTGTAAGATAGCCGTGTAATGAAAAAAATATTAACGAAACGACCACAGATGCCAATTCCCAGACAGATGGCCCAGGGCGCGGTTTAAAGCTCCGCCTCTGGCGGGACGTTTGGCACCGATTCGCCGCCGCAGCTGTGGGCTCGGGAAGGTCGCAGCGTTACACGGGAACTCGCCATGGCATCCGTTACGATTCCCGAAATGAGGCATCTTTCAATGCATCGGCAGCACCGTAATGATGGTGATGAAAACAACTTCCACATTTACCGTTGCAATTTAGCCACCTGTCAATAGGCGTCTCTAGCAAACCGATCACCACCAGAAACCGCTCGACCACCCACCGTGACGATGGGATGGATGCTTGTTACAAAACCTGAACCTAAAATTTCAGTATAAAATCACAATATAGATTTATCATGTTTTTGAAACCCTCCTATAATTTCCACGAATTGTTTTTGAAAGTAGACAATAGCCCACCATCTCTAAATGGCTCGCCATGAAGATAAACTAAATCCCGCGCTTCGTTTCCATGGCCATCATCAGGAGGAAAGTCTACAACAAAAACAAGGTGGAGTATGATTCTAATCATCTCTAGCACACGGAGTGATATTCCGTTTTCGGCGAGAAAAGAGCAGACGCCAAGAAGTGGTGTTCGTGTTGGTCCGCCATGCCCCCTCTGGGAGGGGAAGATGAGCCCCGTGCCACGTGCAGCCCATCAGCCCGGGGATTTCAGGCCGAGTCTGAACTCGTGAATACTCAACACGTATTGTGAATCAGCCCAGCTGTAGCGAAACAACAAACTCTGCGCAATCCGTGTTACACGAGCTCCCATCGAGTGTAAAACCTGAACGGAATGGGTAACGATGCCACCCGATTGTCGCTACCGTGCGTTCTGTTCAAGCTCTCGCCCTCACGGACGTTGTGTGGACGTTACCGTCCCGGTACTCGGAGCCCCGAGCAGAGGAGCCTCGCTGCTCACGCGCCCCGCGACTCCCAGACGGGGCTCGCGGCGAGCCGGACAGAGGGGGCCGTGCGGGACTGACCACGGGGTGGAACCTGACGGAGTCGTCCGCCATGCCGAGTGCTGTCCGCGTGCGGTGCGCTGTGGTTGACGCTCACGCAGCCAGGGAGGGAGGGAATCCTGGGTTCGTCTTCCTGCGTAGGTGTGGGTGGGTCCAGGTGTGATGGAGGAGTAGGGATGCAACGATATGGCGATGCTACGATATATCGTACGATATGAAGTCCACGACAATCGCTTCGTCCGGTTATTTAAAAAAAAAATGCTTTGTAATTATCATTGATTGAGTATATTTTCTCTACATATTTTACGTCCGAAACATTAAAAAAATGAACAGAATCACACCTCTCGATAATAAACAGCTGCTACCCATAAAATGAGTGCTGTGCTGCATGTGATCCCGAGTGATTGGCGGGATGGTGATTGCATGAAGTCATCACTTTCGCAGTTAGTTTATTTTATTATTTTGTGTAATTGAATGCACGTGCGTGCATTACAGGCGTGTGTGTATGCCCAGGTATAATATTCACTGCATAATTATAAGATTTACAATGTGTATATGTGATATCACGTGTTTCCTGTGTGGGTCAAGTGTAAATGTGAGAGTGGTGGCGCAGTGGTTAGCGCATTATGCTACGAACCCTTAAATGAGTACCTGGTGAGGTGTAAAACATCGCCACTGGGGAGACAAAGGCGGCCGGGCGTGGTGTTAGCCACCCACCCCTTCGTGTGCTCGCTAACAGCACTTGCCCCAAAAGTCTGGGGATCTTTGTCTGTGTAAACGTTTCATTACGTGTTTGCTATGCATGTGTCAATGGATACTCCGGACACTTAGACACGAGATTCTACATCCCAAGGGGTAATCCACGTGGCATATTGTTCACTCAACACGAGCCTGCCAGACGACGGTAAGTCGTTGCAACTTTGTATTCAGTACCGCTCATAACGCAGATGCTGTCAGTTACAACCAACGTCATGAGATCTTGAGATGGAATCTAACAACTGTGACACGCCGTGCAATTACTCTTTGCGCAGATTTTAGTGGATGAAAAGGTGGTCACGCTTCCGATACGTCTGGCCGTCGTAGACGAGTCGGCCAGAAATACTCTCCAGAGGTGGGTGTGGACTCTCCGTGGTCCGCATCGAGAGGGCTCCCCGCAGTGGAGGAGGCGTGGCTGCTGGAATGAGTTGGGCCCCATCACCACTCCGCGCCTGTGCTGCTGCAGGCCACGTGCCGGCGATCGCTGTGTCGTGACTCGCACCGCAAGCAGCAGTGATACCGGCACGTGGTAACACTCATTAGTCATTGTCCACAGCAATCCAAATCATTCATCGCATTTATTCGGTAGGCTTACAATCGGCGTATGGAAGCACGAGATCGCGAATTGTGATTTCTGATTACCCCGCACGCAGCCACCGCTCGCTGTCGATGATTAGTGACCACGTGAGCCTCGTGGCAAATTAAGCACAGTGCACGAATCACAAATCGCCTTGTACGTGATGGGTTTCAGAAACAGGTTCATCGGCAGTGTGCGTGTGATGGGGTAAAGTGTGGGTACTCCCAGCTCTTCTTCCAATACGTCTGACCGGCATGGATGAGTAGGCCAAATACACTCTGGAAGGGCTGTTTAGAGCAGGGACGCGTCTTTACCTTTACAGAGATTTGACCACGGACTGCAGCAACGAACCACTCGTGGTGGCAGTGGGGCTTCAACCGGGGAGCAGACAACTCAACACGTTCGTCAACACCGCGTGGCCTTAAAATGACAATCACATAATAGGCGACGTTTCGGGCAATGGCCTGCGACATAGCACCACATGAATGAACGAGGCTTTGCTGTCGCACGCAGGGGCGGAGCCAGGGGGGTGACAGGGTAGATAATTGTCACCCCCGAAAAAAAAAAAAAAAAAATCGAAAATCTAAAACATTCTGCGTATAAGTGTTCGACACTCCGTCTGGCGGACTCCGTGCAACTGCATTGTCAGAGTGTGTCGCCAACCGATGGCGTCCAGTTCAACAGCCCGACTCTCTAAATCATTCTTGAAATTAACATTTGTTGAATGTCACCCCGGGCTGAAAATCCTGGCTCCGCCCCTGGTCGCACGCGTTGTGTTGTTCGCTATGCAATGCACAGCAGCACCAACTGTGTTTAACCCGATTTGTATGGTGACTGCTATCGTTTATTTAACCATGTGAGACCTCGCTGAGATGACTTGTATACACTGATTCATCTCCTTTAGTCAATCGGCCGAGAGACGATGTCTCTTTGTTCATGCTGTCCTTTATTTAAAGAGGTGAGAAGCTCTTTTGAATTTGTTATCCAGAGTGATTGACGCCCTTAACCAGGCGAGAACCCATTGAGATGCATTATCTCTTGTGATTGACGAACTTTAACCATGGGAGGAGAGTCCATTCGCTTGAATCATTTAATATCATGTTCATAGTTTTATTTGCTTACTAAAATATAGGTTAAAGTATCGCCCTTTGTCGATCCACTGCTAGATGCAGGCATCTTGAAGCCGTGTTCATCATGGAGGTTTGACCATACTTCGCCACGTTGGTCAGTGGGAGTTGGTTGAGACAGAAAACGTGAAATGTATGTGTGTATGTTGAACTTCTTTCGCGCCGTACCTAGCCAACCGTCCTAATCGGAGGCGGACGTCGTTTGCACTGCCCTCTGCCGTGCAGGTCATCATCCTACAGCACCCGAAGTTCATGTACGGTGGTGGCCCATCCCAACAAGCGGAGCGGCGTGAACACGGCCAGCAAGCCCAGCCGCACGCACGCGCGGCCGCACGCGCAGCGCCGCGCCCACACTGCCCCCGCGTGCACCGCTCTGGCACTGCGGCTCCGAGTCCCCAGCGCCTCTCTGCACGCAACGCTGCGGTGGCCGCTCTCAAGCTGCTGCTGGCTATGGCGACTATCGCGATGTTCATCTCCATACCGTCTCACTCATGTGCATTTATTGTTTGCATATCTCTGCATCTATGTCTCTCGATGACCTCTCTTTCATCTCACTAGTCGCGATCTCTGCATGTCTCGTAGAGGGCGACCGACTCGCAGCTGGAAGGTTGTGAGTTCAAATCCTGGTTGCGGGTGGTGGTTGACTCAGCCCATCATCAATACGAGGTGGTTAAAAAATGGTACCACATTGTGGGGGCGTGTCATAATGAATACAACGATCATACGTTTAGTTTTATACACTGTTATCAGCGGCTGTGAGTAAGCAAATATGTGATTTAAACAGTTTCTGAGCACAGCTCAAAACGTTAAGCGAACAGCGACAAGCAGCACTGTTAAAGTTGCAACAGTTTCAACATACACACACGATGGGGGAACAGGGGGGCTCCACAGTGGAGCAGTGCGAGAGAAGAAGCAGAAAGGCGGAGTACGAGGCGTTGTGAGCTGGTGAGTGAGTGGGTGAGTGAGTGGGTGTGTGGGTGAGTGGGTGGGTGAGTGAGTGAGTGTGTGGGTGAGTGTGTGGATGAGTGGGTGTGTGGGTGAGTGGGTGGGTGAGTGAGTGGGTGAGTGGGTGAGTGAGTGTGTGGGTGAGTGGGTGTGTGGGTGAGTGTGTGTGTGGGTGAGTGGGTGTGTGGGTGAGTGAGTGTGTGGGTGAGTGTGTGTGTGGGTGAGTGTGTGGATGAGATTGTGCTGTTGTGAGCTGCAGTGTGTGGGTGAATGAGTGTGTGGGTGAGTGAGTGGGTGAGTGAGTGGGTGAGTGAGTGAGTGGGTGTGTGTGTGGGTGAGTGAGTGAGTGGGTGAGTGAGTGGGTGTGTGAGTGAGTGTGTGTGGGTGAGTGAGTGTGTGTAAGTGAGTGGGTGTGTGAGTGAGTGAGTGTGTGGGTGAGTGAGTGTGTGTGTGAGTGTTTAACTCGTGGTTTCGTGGTAATTAATTAAAGGTGGAGGGGTTACCAGCCCCTCGCACCCGTCCAGAGCCCCCGTTTAGCCCCTGTGGTGGACACATATGCCATGAGGGGAGGAGCCAATCAAAATTGGATCTCCCCCCACAGCACTGTCCACGACAGAGTTGCCCGTCCGGCACCGCGAGGAGGTAGGGGGTTGTTTTGCCGGACGCTGTTCCGGCATCGGCGCATCCACACAACATCATGGATGCATGCCGGGTCCAAGCAAGAACATCTGCTGGACTACATAGTGACGGACCAGCGGATGCGAGCCCATGTCCTTGACACCAGGACCTACCGTGGAGCTGATCTGCCCTCTGACCATCGACTAGTCATCTGTAAGATGCGCCTGCCATTCTTCCACTCCGGTGGTGGGTGTACACCCAGGACCCCATTCCGACCTAAAGTGGCCTGGTCTCAGTTATCTGATGAAAGTCGCAAGCGAGAATTTCATCATCGCTTCCGGCTGGGATTGGCATCGTCCCCGACTCCTCCTGATGTCGAGGGTAAATGGGCGAGGTTTAGGACTGTGACTCATGCAGCTGCAATGGCTGATTTGGGTACGCGGTCCAGACCTCTCCCAGAGACCCTGGCTGACAGAGGAGGTGTTCAGGATGGTTGAGAAAAAGCGACAGGCCCACTGTCATCGGCTACAGAATCCCACGTCAGAGGATGAGGAGGCTTACCGCAGCCTTCGCTCGGAGGTTCGGAGAGCCGTGAGGCGCTGCAAGGATGGGTGGTGGTCGCGGGTTGCTGAGGAGATGGAGTCTGCCTCAGTGGCCCGTGATCACAAATCTCTATTTAACTCCATCAAAAAGTAACCTGTACCGCCACACCTATTACCATCATTAGGGGAAAAAACGGTTATCCAATCTCCGACCCCCAGGAACAGGTTTGCAGATTTGCTGAGCATTTCTGTGAGGTTCTGGGGGAGGGAAAATCCCTCAGCCAGGAAAACATCGTGGCACAAAGTGAGGATGACCCTGCTGAGGCTGCGGTGCCTCAAATATTGGAAGAAGTCACCCCCTGTGAGTGGCTGGCTGAGGTGCCATCTGTTGAGGAAGTACTGAAGGCGATCCGGAGTCTGAGACCAGGAAAGGCAGCGGGCAGAGATGATCTCCCAAGCGAAATGCTGAGGGAGGGTGGCGTTTGTGTACAGACTGCCCTATATGACATCATAACAACGGTCTGGACCACTGGATGGGTTCCGCAGGATTGGAAGGATGCCCTGGTGGTCCCCCTCTTTAAGAAGGGGGACCGCACAGACTGTAACAACTACAGGGGCATCTCACTCCTCAGTGTGCCGGGAAAGGTCCTGGCAAGGATTATTCAGCATCGCCTTGCCAGGCACGCTGAGGAGAGGCTTGCGGAGCCCCAATGCGGTTTCAGGAAAGGGCGGTCCTGCACAGATGCCATATTTTCTGTCCGTCTGCTACAGCAGAGGTGTAGGGAATTCCAACAAGACCTACATCTCTGCTTTATTGACCTGGTCAAGGCCTATGATACCATCAGTAGGCCTGGGCTCTGGGTCGTTCTTCGTGCTTTTGGAGTACCTGAACCTCTGCTCACGATCATTAAGGACCTTCATGATGGTGAGCGGGCCCGGGTAAAACTACGTGGCTGGGAGTCAGAGCCATTCCCTGTACACCTTGGGGTGCGACAGGGATGTCATCTGGCTCCCACATTATTTAACATCTATTTTGACCACGTAGTTCGTGAAGCCTTCAATAGCTGTACCGGGGGAATCTCCATATGGTACAGATATAATAGGAGGCTGATCGATGCCCGGGTGCGGTCAAGGGATGGCTCCCTATTGCTCAACCACGTTATGTATGCTGATGATTTGGTAATAGCTGCTCAGTCAGAGGAGGAGTTGGAGACGCTGCTGCTGAGACTGGAGCGTGCCACTAAGAGGTGGGGCCTTACCATCAGCCCCACCAAAACTAAGCACCTGCCTGGGTCTTTTGTACCATCGGACACTCCACCCCCACAACTCCCAATCGGTGATGGGGCAGTTGTGGAGAGAGTGGAGAGTTTCCCATACCTGGGCAGTGTGCTTATGACTGGCTCCAGTTTAACAGCAGAGGTCTCACTCCGAATCAGTCGAGCGGCAATATCTTTTCATCGGTTGCGTAACGCTGTGTGGAAGCTACCTGGTCTGTCGCTCCGCACTAAGCTTCAGGTCTTCTCGGCCACGGTCATTCCCTCCCTTCTCTACGCTTGCGAAACGTGGACCCCCCTAATGGAACATCTTCGCCGGTTGGAAACATTTAGGCTGGCCTGCCTACGATCCATCCTGGGTTTAATCAGACTGGATTGTGTGAGGAGCTCACAAATCCTTGAAAGATCTGGGCAAGGTCCCATCGGTGAGCTCCTCCAGCGGGCAAGGCTGCGATGGCTGGGCCATGTAGCCCGCATGCCCAGCCAACGCATGCCGAAACAGCTTTTGTTCGGCAGGATTGAGGGGGCTAAGCGGGCGCGGCACGGGCTAGAGAAGAGATGGAGTGATGTGGTACAGGAGGACGTGGAGCTGAGTGGACTTGCCGATGACTGGTACCAGCGGTGTCAAGATCGGCCTCTGTGGAGGAGGCTCGTGAAGGACGCTACTGGGCAGTTGGAGGCAGTCGCCCTCCAACAACAACGGAGGGCGGAGGAGCTACGCTCAGAACAACGAGCGGAGCGCCGGATGGCTAAAACACAGCAGGTTGGCACAGTAGGGGGCACAGGTGGTGCATCAGCCAGTCATCTCAGTCAGTCGACCCGTGGCACCTGGGTCTGCCCCGTGACCTCCTGCCAGCGGGCGTTCGACACTTCACGTGGCCTCAGGGTGCACATAGCCTGGCACAAGCGTCGTGGTGACGTCACCGCCACTTAGTGGCGAATGGCGGTTGTTGTTGTGTGGGTGTGTGGATGAGATTGCGCTGTTGTGAGCTGCAGTGTGATGGTGGTGGCTAAGCACAGCGTGGAGCCTCTCTGAGCTCCATCGCAAGGCAGAAAGGAGCGCAATCTCTCGAGCCTGGGCTCCAACGGGGACAGGAAATCGACAGCACGGGCGACTGGTGGAGGTCATTCCAGACCGGGCGTGGAGTCGCTGACGATGAGCGACCTCCCATTGGCCGAGTGTATGCCCAGAAAGCGCAGACCTTAAGGATACACTTCGTAAGTCCAAGCAGCAGCAGCAACATTTTATCCACCAAGATTAGACTTGGTGATGATGGCAATGACAGTCGCCGTGTTCTGTGTTTATTTGCAATGTAACAAAAAGCCAAAGGAGCGACTCAAACCACCGAGTCCATGCAGTAGCACGTGTCTTTATTGACTGGGTTAGTGCGCGGTTAATACGGCGAGATCGGACGTGAAGGCGCTGACTTGGTCCGAGTCGCAGCTCGATGCAAGGACGAGGCCTGACACCTGTCCCGGTTTGACACCGGACGCTCTGGAATTTGGCATCTGTGGTCGGGCGGCAGGAGATGATTTTCACCGAGACCTGGTACCGGTCTCGTGTGCAACTCTATTCCAGGAGACTGCTCGGTGTTGACAGACCCACACTGGCCGAGTGTGGTCAACGGTGGACACGCGGCCACCTGGATGAGCAGGCCCATTGGGAGCAAGGCCAGTTGTGCTTATATCCGAAGTATTTGCCGATTTTAGAAGTTGTCTTAACTTCCCTCTACGAGTGTAATGTAAGCATGCGTTGCTTACGTTGTAACTGTGGCATATATAATGTTTGCTTTGTATCCAGCTTCCACCGCATCAGAGCCACGAGAATAACAACAGGCGAGCTTCTTCAACCGACCCGCAACGAATGCGGAATCGACACGATTGTTATAATGACTCGATTCTTGCTTAGTAAGCACGCGACTACATGCGAGTATGGTGAGCACTGAGAGTCAACGTTGATCCACCGATGGACACAGAGTGGGGGGGGAGAGCTCGCGAGACGCGTTCCGGGGACACGCGTGCGCCTGCGTGGTGCCGTGTGGTGAAAGGCTGCCGTGAGTCGTCACTGTCGTGAGTCGTCACAGTAGTGAGTCGCCACTGTAGTGAGTCGTCACTGTTGTGAGTCGTCACTGTAGTGAGTCGTCACTGTCGTGAGTCGTCACTGTTGTGAGTCGTCACCGTCGTGAGTCGTCACAGTAGTGAGTCGTCACTGTCGTGAGTCGTCACTGTAGTGAGTCGTCACTGTCGTGAGTCGTCACTGTTGTGAGTCGTCACTGTAGTGAGTCGTCACTGTTGTGAGTCGTCACAGTAGTGAGTCGTCACTGTCGTGAGTCGTCACTGTAGTGAGTCGTCACTGTCGTGAGTCGTCACTGTAGTGAGTCGTTACTGTCGTGAGTCGTCACTGTTGTGAGTCGTCACTGTTGTGAGTCGTCACCGTCGTGAGTCGTCACAGTAGTGAGTCGTCACTGTTGTGAGTCGTCACTGTAGTGAGTCGTCACTGTAGTGAGTCGTCACTGTAGTGAGTCGTCACTGTTGTGAGTCGTCACTGTTGTGAGTCGTCACAGTAGTGAGTCGTCGCTGTCGTGAGTCGTCACTGTCGTGAGTCGTCACTGTAGTGAGTCGCCACAGTTGTGAGTCGTCACTGTAGTGAGTCGTCACAGTAGTGAGTCGTCGCTGTCGTGAGTCGTCACTGTAGTGAGTCGTCACTGTCGTGAGTCGTCACTGTTGTGAGTCGTCACTGTTGTGAGTCGTTACAGTCGTGAGTCGTCACTGTCGTGAGTCGTCACTGTTGTGAGTCGTCACTGTAGTGAGTCGTCACTGTAGTGAGTCGTCACTGTCGTGAGTCGTCACTGTTGTGAGTCGTCACTGTAGTGAGTCGTCACAGTCGTGAGTCGTCACTGTCATGAGTCGTCGCTGTGGGGAGTCGTCACTGTAGTGAGTCGTCACTGTGGGGAGTCGTCACTGTCGTGAGTCGTCACTGTAGTGAGTCGTCAAAGTCGTGAGTCGTCACAGTCGTGAGTCGTCACAGTCGTGAGTCGTCACTGTGGTGAGTCGTCACTGTAGTGAGTCGTCACTGTCGTGAGTCGTCACTGTCGCGAGTCGTCACTGTTGTGAGTCGTCACTGTAGTGAGTCGTCACAGTCGTGAGTCGTCACAGTCGTGAGTCGTCACTGTGGTGAGTCGTCACTGTAGTGAGTCGTCACAGTCGTGAGTCGTCACTGGAGTGAGTCGTCACAGTCGTGAGTCGTCACTGTAGTGAGTCGTCACAGTCGTGAGTCGTCGCTGTCGTGAGTCGTCACTGTGGTGAGTCGTCACTGTGGTGAGTCGTCACTGTAGTGAGTCGTCACTGTCGTGAGTCGTCACTGTAGTGAGTCGTCACTGTAGTGAGTCGTCACAGTCGTGAGTCGTCACTGTCATGAGTCGTCGCTGTGGTGAGTCGTCACTGTAGTGAGTCGTCACTGTCGTGAGTCGTCACTGTAGTGAGTCGTCACTGTAGTGAGTCGTCACTATAGTGAGTCGTCACAGTCGTGAGTCGTCACTGTAGTGAGTCGTCACAGTCGTGAGTCGTCACTGTCGTGAGTCGTCACAGTCGTGAGTCGTCACAGTCGTGAGTCGTCACTGTAGTGAGTCGTCACAGTCGTGAGTCGTCACAGTAGTGAGTCGTCACTGTTGTGAGTCGTCACTGTTGTGAGTCGTCACTGTAGTGAGTCCTCACCGTCGTGAGTCGTCACAGTTGTGAGTCGTCACTGTAGTGAGTCGTCACTGTTATGAGTCGTCACTGTCGTGAGTCGTCACCGTTGTGAGTCGTCACCGTTGTGAGTCGTCACTGTAGTGAGTCGTCACTGTTGTGAGTCGTCACTGTTGTGAGTCGTCACTGTAGTGAGTCGTCACTGTTGTGAGTCGTCACAGTCGTGAGTCGTCACCGTCGTGAGTCGTCACTGTTGTGAGTCGTCACAGTCGTGAGTCGTCACTGTCGTGAGTCGTCACTGTTGTGAGTCGTCACAGTCGTGAGTCGCCAATGTAGTGAGTCGTCACTGCAGTGAGTCGTCACTGTCGTGAGTCGTCACTGTTGTGAGTCGTCACTGTCGTGAGTCGTCACTGTCGCGAGTCGTCACAGTCGTGAGTCGTCACTGTCGTGAGTCGTCACTGTCGTGAGTCGTCACAGTCGTGAGTCGTCACTGTCGTGAGTTGTCACGGTAGTGAGTCGTCACTGTCGTGAGTCGTCACTGTCGTGAGTCGTCACAGTCGTGAGTCGTCACTGTCGTGAGTTGTCACGGTAGTGAGTCGTCACCGTTGTGAGTCGTCACCGTTGTGAGTCGTCACAGTAGTGAGTCGTCACTGTCGTGAGTCGTCACTGTCGTGAGTCGTCACCGTTGTGAGTCGTCACAGTCGTGAGTCGTCACAGTAGTGAGTCGTCACTGTCGTGAGTCGTCACTGTCGTGAGTCGTCACAGTTGTGAGTCGTCACTGTTGTGAGTCGTCACTGTCGTGAGTCGTCACTGTAGTGAGTCGTCACTGTCGTGAGTCGTCACTGTAATGAGTCGTCACTGTTGTGAGTCGTCACCGTCGTGAGTCGTCACTGTCGTGAGTCGTCACTGTTGTGAGTCGTCACAGTCGTGAGTCGTTATTGTCGTGAGTCGTCACCGTCGTGAGTCATCACAGTTGTGAGTCGTCACTGTAGTGAGTCGTCACTGTCGTAAGTCGTCACTGTAGTGAGTCGTCACTGTCGTAAGTCTTCACCGTCGTGAGTCGTCACTGCTGTGAGTCGTCACTGTCGTGAGTCGTCACAGTCGTGAGTCGTTACTGTTGTGAAGCCTCATCGTTGTGAGTCGTCACCGTCGTGAGTCGTCACTGTCGTGAGTCGTCACTGTCGTGAGTCGTCACTGTTGTGAAGCCTCACAGTCGTGAGTCGTCACTGTCGTGAGTCGTCACCGTCGTGAGTCGTCACAGTTGTGAGTCGTCACTGTTGTGAGTCGTCACAGTTGTGAGTCGTCACAGTCGTGAGTCGTCACTGTCGTGAGTCGTCACCGTCGTGAGTCGTCACTGTTGTGATGCGTCATCGAGAGCGCTCTCACTGTGATGCTTAATCTTGTGCTGGTGAAACACACACGCAGCGCAAATGAACGATGGTGAGACAGACGCGCTGCCTTCTCCTTTGTGAGACGTTGGACTCCAGCTGATGTCTAGGCCTGAAAACCATTTACCCCGTTCACAACCACGACCACCACAACCACCACCACAACAGCGATTCCGCGGGTTGTCTCCAGGCCACTTTCAGCAGCAGCAAGCCATGCTGGGGAAGTGAGAATGGGTCACGTGTGTGGTCAGTGCACGGGTCATTGACTTTGTTAATTCACTGCTATTACTGCATTGGTCACCTGCAGGATGGCGCGTCAGTAACTCGCGCCACGTGTCTGAGAAGGCGCTATCTCTCTCTCCCTCTCCAGGGCAGCTGTTTGTGAAGCCATCATTTCATATCAACGATCGGTTGGTACATGGGCTTGACGATGATGTGGAGGTGGAGGGCGTTATCCACGAGGTACTCTGAGGAGCGCTTCACTATGTCTGCATCCTTTAAGAAGTTCCCCATTTCATCCGTGCTCTGATAGAAATTAGAAATCTGCTTCACGATCATCCGGCCCTGCCTCTTGCTCCCGATCAGAACCGTCTTTTGGTACTTGACGCCCGCCCCTCCGATGGTTGGCGAGGCGGGGATGATGTGGAGCCTGGGGCTGAGGTCTGCGTGCCCGCCGCTGCTCTGAGAGCCTCGGTACCCCTGCTGCTGCATCACGCCCTGCTCGAGCTTCAGCTTCCTTGGTGAAAAAACGACGTTCCAGGAAATCTTTTTGCCGTAGTCAAAGTTGCTGGGGCTGGTTTGTGTCTGGAAAACGATGCTCCGATCGTCCCGAGCGGGGTTCTGAATGGCCCAAAGGGTGCCCCAGGGCGGCGAGAGATAGTTGCGCGGAATGAACATGGTCTTCTTCACATCGAAGTATTTGGCAAACTGAACGGGAGATACGGAGTGGAATTGAAACGACTGGTCGAGCAGGTTATTGATGGAATATTCGTACTTCTTCAAAACCGTAGACTCTGTCTTCAGCTGCAGGATTTGCACGGGAGTCATCATGGGGAAGCGAATGGACTTGAGGAGGGCTTCAGCAGTGGAGCTGTTTGGCTGGTTTCTCTCGATCCACTGCGCCACAGCACTGAAGAGGGAGAGTTCATTGTCTAGCACCAGGTCCGATCGCTGAAGCAAGCCGTGAAGGTGTTCGCCAGACATCGCAGCCCACTCGGGGGAGCTGATGACTGAGGACAGGTTCCAAGCGATGAACTGGTTGAACTTTGCCACGAGGCTCTGATCCCCGACCTTCCACGCGAACTCATACCAGGCGACAACAGGACTCTGACTCAGGTTCTCCGTCATGAACTTTGACAAGCCGAGTCGCAGAGAATCCACTTTGAACTCGAATGCCAACATGCACAGAGGGATCACTTGCTCAACGTTGACTACAATTTTCCCAGTGTATAAATACCTGCAAAAACACAAACAAGCAAATCGATATTGGCACGTGTATATAGCTAGAGTAGCATTTAAAGATTAGCAATATTCATTCAGCGTCAAAGTGAAACGTGAAAACTGCTTGAATGTGATTTATGTGAATTATCAACCAAGAGGTCTCCCTGTTGAAATGATCAGTGGGAAGCATTCATCGATTGGTGATTCGCCTTGCCGAGCCGTGAGCAACCCGTGCTGCACTGGCCTCACAGCAAGACATCTGAGTCTGGCTCGGGGTGGGGGGGGGGGGGCAAGCAGGGCCAGGGGCCTGCGCTACCGACGCGTACCGTAGGAAGGCGCTGAACACGCTGGCGCAGTCGGGGCTCAGCGTGAGATGCAGGAGGCTGCCGCTGCCATTGGCGAGGAGCGCGGAGAATGCGCGGCTGCGCAGCGCGAGCAGCACGCGGTGCGCGGGGTAGCGGCGTGGAGCCGCGCCGCTCCCCGCGCCCTCGGTCAGCACCCGCAGCTCCGTGTCGCTCGAGTTCGCGTCCTCCACCAGCAGCGAGAGCTCCTCCAGCAGCTGCGGCGCCTGGTTGATTGCCCCTTGCGTCGGTAGGGGCGGCGACACCAGCACGCGCCCTTTGTTGTTATTCACGATACAGGCAACGCCGTTTAATTTTGGCTCCAGCGCTGTCCTCCAGACAGTCTCGTCCCTTCACCTGATGAAGGCCACTTGCGTGCGTTGTGGCCGAAACGTCGTGAGAATTTTATCGTGTTATTTTATTGATTTATTTTATTCTCATTCTACGTGACTTTACCGAAATAACCAAAGAAGATGAACGCCGTTTAACTCGAGGCCAGCCTCACTTGAGTCTCACGACTCGTTTGTCAGGAGGGTCCTGCGTTGGAATCTTTTGGCAAACACCGTGACAAGTGCGAAAGCAGCGATCTGTCATCCACGGTGGATGAGGCCGTTCGTGCCGACCAACATCTCGTGACGGAGGGCCATGGTCACGTTCCCCGCTGTAGACCTCACCCGGACATATTCCTCAGTCAGCCTCGGTCTATCAGCGCGGCGCGGTATGCTGGTCACAAAGTCCAACACAAGACCCGTACCAGATCTCGGTAGAAACCAATTCCTGCCACTCGAACACAGTTTTCGCCGATGTCGCCATGTGTAATCCCAATCGAGTCATCTTCTCGTATGGCGGAATGTAACATTTCAACAAACAATTTGGATATTTAGCTCCAGTTGATCAATCACCCTTAACTACGCACAGTGAATTACCCATCCACCGGCAAGACGCAACACAGCAACGCTGGACGGCACACACAGTGGTTACCTGCACTGGCGGGGTTGAGGACGCCACTCATGCACAGAGAGAGCAGCAGAGCCGCGAGGCCCCGTGGTGCCCGTGCGAACAGCATCTCGGGTACTCCTCGTGCGCAATCTGCAGCTCCCCGCTTCCTCGCGGCCCTTTTAACCGCACGCCACTCCAGCGCCCACAAAGGCCCCTTTAGCCACACATAGCAGCGGGCGGTGAATGGGCGTACAATGAGAACCCGTTGGAAATGTGCGGAAGTCCGAACCCAAATTCGCTCTGGAGATATCATGAACAAATGTTTCTTTCAATGATGCGAATCGGTTGAGCACCTCTGAGTCCGTGAGCACATTTCACAGGGAGTTGTTGCTTCACCAGGACGGCGCCGTTGTTTGGTTCGTGAACAGAGGAACCTCCGAGGACTTCTGTGAGCCACCCCGCCACTTATCGAGTTGTGTTGACCCTCGCTGTTGCCATCACAACTGCTGCTCACTATATGGAGGTGGATAATTTATGCAAATCACATCGACAGAAATCAAACGCTTGGCTCGTGGAACAACCACGTGCTTCTGAGAGCATCGGCTGCGTAACAAACCACACACAACCACACCACACACAACCACACACAACCACATCACACAACCACACACAACCACATACAACCACATCACACACAACCACATCACACAACCACACACAACCACATCACACAACCACACACAACCACATCACACACAACCACACAACCATATCACACAACCACACACAACCACAACCACACACAACCACACAACCAACCACACACAACCACATCACACAACCACACCACACACAACCACACCACACACAACCACACCACGTTAGACAACCACACACAACCACGCCGCACACAACCACATCGCGCAAACACAGCCACGCCGCACACAACCACATCGCACACAACCACCCCACACACAACCACACCGCACACATCCACACCACACACAACCACACCACACACAGCCACACCACACACAACCACACCGCACACAACCACACCGCACACCACACCACACACAACCACACCACACACAACCACACCACACACAACCACACGGCGCAAACACAGCCACACCACACACAACCACACCGCACACAACCGCACCACACACAACCATACCACACACAACCGCCCCACACACAACCACACCACACACAACCACACCACACACAACCACACCACACACAACCACACGGCGCAAACACAGCCACACCACACACAACCACACCGCACACAACCGCACCACACACAACCACACCACACACAACCGCACCACACACAACCACACCACACACAACCACACCACACACAACCACACCGCACACAACCACACCGCACACAGCCACACCACACACAACCACACCACACACAACCACACCACACACAACCACACGGCGCAAACACAGCCACACCACACACAACCACACCGCACACAGCCACACCACACACAACCACACGGCATACAACCACACCACACACAACCACACCGCACACAACCACACCACACACAACCACACCGCACACCACACCGCACGTGGATTCAAGTACAGCGATGAAACGCGGCAGCATCTCACGATCCCCGACAGACAGCGGGCGAGCTTATTAAGTAGCGAGCCGAGGAGGAGTTTGGTCTCCAGCCTGCACTGGAGCAGGGCCAGGGAGTCACCAGCACCTGCGGCGTTCCAGATTATGGAGGAGGAAGCAGAACGTGCAGGTGACAGTCCGAGCTGCTGCGGTAGGAGACTCGCTGCAATATACACCGCGCCTCGGTGTGGTGTTCACATTCAACACTGCGTGGATGTGCATTTAAACTCACGAATATACATGGCCCAGCGGTGTTGCAGCTGTTCGCCGTTCGAGTGCGACATGCCGCCCTTATTGTCGGCAGGTTATATGCCACCTCACCTCACCTGCGCACTCAACTCCTAATCCCTGCCGAGGGCTGATTGGAGTTGGGATCTAAGTCGCCCCAAGTGTGTGGTGGTCGAACGTTGGGGCAACCCCTGGGAAGAGACGGGTTAGAGACCGGACGGGGTGCGGCGAATGTCCCCGAAGCAGCGCGGTCTTTTGAATGCAATAGTTCTGCAAGGATTTGTTTCATTTAATGCCTCGATTCCAATTGAAACTAAACACAGTGATAACATTACATAGCGTTGTCGGCAAGTGTAATTGAGGAAAGGTACATTTAAAAGCTTATTTTGTTTTGTCGTGCATTTACATATTCGTCAGACTTCTGAGAAAATGTTATCTGGCAAGCTGCATACACAAGCAAGGCACAGTCTCAACACGGCTACTGTGAGTCACAGCCAGAGGTGTTAATGGACACGAGCTTGCATTCGTGAAAAAATCGACACTTGGCATTTCGCATTTTTATTTTCAAAACAATATAGCAAACACGTGACAATAAATGACAATGCAAAGTGTCGTGAATTTGCGTCCACATCGAGTATAAACAAGTCAATCCTGTGACGTGTCCCCTCTTCCTGTTGATTGTAAGACGCCGAGAGAAGTCAGCCCCGTGGCACGGCCGCGAACCTCGAGACTCGCGGCCCGGGCAGCAGAGGGGCTCCCCCCCTCGGTATTGCTTTTGTGGGGGCACCTCCACTTAGGGTTCAATCACAAAGACCCCCCCCCCCAACACACCACATTGCTATTGATTGCCAATACACTCGTGTATTTAATTTACAAAACTTTGTTATAAAAAACACCACTTCACTTCGAGTCCAAATCGCAGTCGCCCACCGCGCGCTCGTGCCAGCGGGGGCGGCCGAGGCCCCCACAGCCAGAGGTGGGGGCCTCGGCGGTATCGCGCCACACCGATGGATTTAACGATTCTGCTCCTTCACTCACGGTGTCTGCAACAGCAGAAACATCGTCGAATATCCGCCGCGCGTTTCAGAGAAGAGATTATTCACCATTGATGCGAATCGCGAGAGAAGAACGTGAAGCAATTGGAGCGAGGCCGCATATCAGCAGCAATGCGATCTCTCATCACAACCCCCGGAGCGGGGAGGGGGGCTGGGGGGGGGGCGACACGGGGAGTCTCGACCGCCCAACATCGCACGCCTCTCCCTGGGCACGTCGCCAATGCGGCCGTCATCCCCTCGGGTACATTTACGGGCAACCGTTGCCGGCAACCGTTACAAGCAACACATTAACCGTGAGCTACTGTGGTAATTTGGCAGGAAACAGAACGGAGTGACAGAGTTATCTTCAAAGTCAATAACTGCCGTCTGTACGCGTGTGTGTGTACGCGTGTGTGCTTAGCAATGCTGGGGTTAGTGTACAATACATTCGTGATTGATGTGAATCTTCTTAAATGGATCAGAGGCCCATCATGGCCCAAGTGTGGCCCTTCACACCATCACGCCACACCTTGCTAGCACACCATCACGCCACACCACCACTACCCACAGGTTTATTCAGAAAGGATTGTTTTTGTTTACCACGGGAAATTCTGCGATAATTGTTTGCCCTAAAATTGCCGCAGTGGATCACTGCCTCCCAGGGCGACAGCCGCACTGCGAGTTGCATTCAGTTTCTCTAAGTAATGTTCACATTACATACATGCATTGATGTACTTTGACCATTCAAGTACGACTCAACATCTAAAGAAAAAAATCAGATCTCGTAAAGACTCTAAACTAATTACAGCGACTCTCTTCCTACTCCTTCTGTACTCCCTGCGTAAGCAACAGCAGCAGCGGCAAGATGTGAATTGGATACAGAGCGGCGACCCGGGCCTCGGCACCCTGGCACGCTCAGCAGGACAGGGGCTAAGAGGGGACGGTGAAGGGTGAACTCGAGTGTGGGTCAGGGTAGCGGGATCACGGTGAGTGTGGGGTGGAGGGGAATCAGAGGGCGTGGAGGGTAAGGGGACCACCCCCTCACCTCCGATCAGCACGGTTGTCTACGCACGGTTCGACGTACACACACACGTACCGCAGGCTGGCATGTGAAGGGTCAAGTCATTGGTGAGGGTGACAGGTTAATTTGTCGAGGAGAGGATTGGTTGCCGCACCGGGTAGAGAGCCAATGGCAACGGGATGACGCCTCTGAGCCGCTTGCTCTGCTGTGGATCTCCATCGACCCAGTGCCCATAAGCATTCCTGAAGCTACAGGCGTCTCAGTGATAGTGCAGGCTGTGCCACGTCAGTAGATACACAATGATATATTGGGGGTATTTTGGGGGTAAATGTTAACGGTGGTTGTCCCTGACAGCGCGTTTACTGTGAGCACCGATGCCTGAGCCGTATCCAGCCAATGACAAGAGAGTGGGCTGAAAGGTGAATGATGGAGCAATGATCGGTCCACTGGGCACAGAACGTCATGCGGCCTCCAAGATCCGATTGGAATTTCCCAACACGGCCACCCACTAGAGGGAGTGTGGCGGGTGCCGGGGATTATTGCCCCAATGTATCGTGACCTTTACCAGGGCAGGTGATGCCGTCAAAATGCAGACGTCGCTAATGCTGCACCACCTCATCGCTCCTGCGGTTCACAGGCAGATTCCCGAGCTGTCAACTCTGAAGGCTTCCAGCTCCTGAAATAAATTAAACACAATAAATTCAATACAATAAATTAAATACAAAGGAATACTGAAATAATCATAAAAACTTAAAGCAGGAAATGTCCGCTCCAAGAGAAGAAGTTCAAATAATATAAATGCCCAGGCCACGCCTCGCATGACAGCCAAGCTTATATAAAGTGTGCACGTGCACTTTTGTACAAGACGCGTGTGTGCGGCAGCTTCAGCTCCACCAAGAATGACAAAATGTTGACGAATATGGCCACACTGTAAGCACAATGATACGTGAATGGGCAAATGGAATTGGTTGCTGGACCACACAGCTTGAAAGCATAGAATGAGGGTTGCCAACTTCCCACTTTAGACCAAAGTGGGACGTATTCTTCAGCCAACCTTGGTCTGTCACAACCACAGTTCACTGCAACGCAGTTAAACACACAACACCGGTACCAGATCTGGGTATAGATTCTTGTCACCCGAACGCCGGTGGTGCCAATTCACGATCAGTCTCGGGTCAAACCCAGAGGGACCGGGAATTATCAGCATCTGTGAAATGAACCCTGCCTCAAAACGTAGAGTTCAGCCTTTAGCTGGGAAACGTGGAGATGGTCATGCTGCCTTGATCCCGACCTCAACGTCGAGACTTTTCTCTGGCAAACGCGGACGGGAGGAACCCCAAACGCGAGAGTTTTGTCAACTGCGCTTATATTTCTCCGGACTCTTGGAGCAACCCTCGAGCTCACGTGCACCACAAGCCACCGCCATCCTGGTGGACCGTGGGTTTGCGGCGGCAAGGGCGCGCTCCAGTGCCAGAAGCCACTTCGTGTTGCGCAGAGTGGTGACATCCCGGTTCAGGCATGGCGCAGACTTGCTCCGCACAGATCACGGACTAACACCGCCTGGAATCGAACTAACGTCTCCGCGGTGCTGCTGGCTCCGTGCTGGCTCCGTGCTGGCTCCGTGCTGGCTCCGTGCTGGCTCCGTGCTGGCTCCGTGCTGGCTCCGTGCTCTCCCGCCGAGCCACCGCACATTCTTGCCTTGTCCATGTACTTTGTGTTCCCTTCCAGTCGAGACTTTCCGTGTCAGTGAACATATGGAGATGTCGGCAGCCATGGAATCATTCATTTACACGGTCGCACAGGGATGGCACTGATCGCGTTCTATCTGAAGTCACGCCGAGTAACGAGTGTCGCGAGTATTGTCTCCGAACCAAACGTCGTTTACCAACAACAGATCAGACGTTGCACGCGGGGTTAGCAATCGTGAAACCCACAACGTCTCCGCAGGAATAAAAATCGCCGTACAATTTGTGAAAAGTGAAGACTCTGTGGGGTTTCTCGCTTGACGCCGCCGTCGTGGCTAACCGTCCAGCACACTCGACATTGGTGAACCCCAGCACGGACGTGCAGTAGGCAGGCATCACGCGGGGTGAATGCATCACGCGCCGTGAGAGCGTGGGGTGGCGGAGCGCCGTGACGGCCCGGATTGCTGAGAGCCTCGACACCGAACTCGATCCGACTCACGGCGAAGGAGCAGCCCCTTTCCAACGAGTCGTGCATCCCACTGCTGCTGCCAGAGCACTGCCCACTGCCGATTTACTTGAGCGGCATCGATTGGCACACGGGCATTGTTTCGTAATGGCACCAACACTGCAGCGCAATTACACGCGCACATGTGCAAGTAAACGTACTCATTTGAAAAGCGCGAGCGCGTTTGCCTGGGATGTGTTTTGAGTGCCACGCTAATTCAGTGCACATGGCACAATCTGAGCCCGACATTTGTCAAATTTCCCTCTTTACTGTCTTGCGCCATGCGGTGAAGATGACAAATGTAGAAACGAATGCAGAGCCCCTGCAGATCATCGCCAGCGGTGTCCCTTCACAATGCCAGGGCTCTCCAACAACTCGAATTGTGGTCTCTCCCCATGACATGCAGCCCCGGTGGTGCGGCGTCCCGTCAGAGCGGTGGGCTGCGTGGAGGCAGACGTGCCGGGGTTAGGCTCATGGCTAAGTGCTGCTGTTGTCTTCAGTGCCTCCTCCTGTGTTCGGCGAAAATCCTGTCGGAGGGACAGGGGGTTGGCACGGCCGTCTGTGCAGCAAGAGATCACCGAGCATTAAAGCCAAATAACCATTGTGTGCATCAGCATCATCTCATGCTGCTGCACCACAGCTGTCAACTCCCAGTCCTCACACCTCCCAACAGCTTGCCCTCACACACACAGTCTGTTCTATTTTGGTGTAAACTAGGTAACAATGATGCCTGTGTATCCTCGCAGCAAATGTGTAAATAAACAACAGGATGAAGGAGGGAGGTGCGACGATGAGAGTTTGAGAGCTGCTGCCGCCGCCGCTGCTGCTGTCGGAACCCTCGTCACGGCTCCAGGACTTCTGACAGGAAGCCTGCCGGGTGATTCTGAAAACGAGAAAGCGGTGCAATCACATTTCAGAAATATCAGCAGACCTCGAGCAGCCACACAACATTTGTTTTCACAGAGTAGCGGAGCGCGGCCAGGAACAAACAGCACGAACAAGCGGCGCAAGTTCTTTAAATGCGCGAGAGATGATAATCAGAGCTCGTGGGGGAAAATAGATGCTGGGGGGAGGGCATTGCGAAGTGAAGCGGTACGAGGGAAGAAGCTTAAATAAGCAGTGTCGTGACCTGAAGTGTGGTGAATAGGTGTGTGGGTGAGTGGGTGTGTGGGTGAGTTGGTGGGTGAGTGTTGTTGCAACCTACAATGTGGTGGATTAAAGAGTCCTCATCGTGGGAGGAGCAATCAACGAGCAAAGTTCATGGGAACAGTCGCCACAGAAGTAGCAATAGAAGAGGAGCAACCGAGATGCTAGTTTTATTTCTCGCTATCTATAAAAGTAAAGGTTTCACCATACACGCTCCAAGTTGGGCTAAGAATGTTTGACCATCACCTAACATTCGTCAGAATGAGCAGTGGTACAGTGGTTTGTGTACTGTGCTATGAAACTGGAAAATTCTGAACTTTGCACCATCTCCAAGTTGCTCCGATTGACATCGTTCCGCGTGACGTGGCGACGGAGAAGCGCACGGCTCACCTGGAACGAGTTTGTGATGTGCACGTGATGGCTCCCTCGGCTGGACACCTTGGCACCGTGGAACCCAGCCGGCTTGCTCTTCCACGGCTTGGTGTAGCGCTTCCTCTTGAAGTTCCCCACCACACAGCAGCACTGCACACACAGGAACGCAGACCCATCCCCCACACCTCCGATTAGCACGGTTGGCTACGTACCGTGCGAAAGAAGTTCAACGTCCATACATGTTCAGGTCAGTGCCCTCAAGTGCAACAAATGACGAACACCGTGTAGGCTTTAGAATACTAATTTTAGGGACAGTTCAGAAGGAAGGGAGAAAGGAGGACGTTTGGGGTAGAAAAGGGGATATCGAGGTGAGCAAGGGCGGATGGAAGAGGTGGGTAATAGGTGGATAAGCATGGTGCAGGATGAGCTTTCAGGATGAATTCCAATTGGAAGGGTAGATATCAGAATTATTGTCGCTTATTACTCTGCATGCGTACTCTCAAGGGCCTCACCGAGCCTGAAGGTTCTTTTGCAGGATGGTCCTGCCAAGTATTTGCAGTCGGGGGACAGTGTTGCTGCTCTGTGTAGTCCCAAATGAGTAATTGCCAGGTATTTGTTTCAGCATTGAGATGTTTGCTCAACATCAGTTGCATTGAACGTTTTGTTTGGCTATGGTAGGAAATCAGAGAACCCGGTGAAAACCCATGGAGAAGAGGGGGACTCAAACCCATGGCCTTGTTGACGTAAGGGGCAGCAGTCACCAGGAAAGTGGCGATGCCGGCGCCGATGGTGTAGCCGGTGATGACGTCGGCCCAGTGGTTGCGGTGCTCGCCGATCCGCACAAGGCCCACGATGAGACCCAGGCCCATGAGGCCCAGGCAGCAGGTCGGCTTGACGAGCCGGATGCCCCAGCGCTTGCTCGTGCTGGTCACGTACAGCTGAGGAAACAGGCACGCGCATGCAACACACGCACCCAGATGTTCGTGACAAACACAGCGGGCGGAATGATACGTCAATTCAAATGAACACTAATGCTGTGCGGTACGATCTTGCGTATCCGCCTCGCAGGGGCGTCAGTGACAATTGTAGCCACTTTGGAATATTGTAAACCATACCAAATTTCAGCATTGGCATAATAAAATCATGTGGTACTGCAGCATCTTGTAATACTAGTCACGTTGGTGTGATGAGTTAAAATTTCAACGAGTAGACGATGTCGAGGATGTAATTATAATGAGTAGACGATGTCGAGAATGTAATTATAATGAGTAGACGCTGTAGATTATGTAATTATAATGAGTAGACGCTGTAGAGGATGTCATCATAATGAGTAGACGCTGTAGACACTGTTATTATAATGTATACAAGTATCCTGTGGCGAGACAAAATCTGTCAAGCTTTGACATCAATCGGGGTTAATGGTGAGTGGGGTCTAAGGTCAACTGAAAGCGGTTTCACGTGGAGATGTATCGTTGTTATTCAACTGATAACTGCTGGAGGGGCGACAGTGGAACCCACCACGGTGTAGACGGCCGAGTAGAGGCTGAAGGCCGCCTCCTTGCAGGGGAAGGAGAGGCGTGCGCGCGCCACCAACTCGGGACTGCCGGTGCACGCCGCCGGGTCCGTGATGAAGACGCCGCTGCTGCCGACCCCCACCGCTGCGGCGTGGCAGGGCAGCGCCGTGTAGTTGGGCTTGCACACGCTCAGGAAGTGCGGCGTAAGCCCTCCGCTAACCACCTGCCCGACGTTGGCAAAAATGTCCGTGGCGACCAAGCCGTAGAGAAAGAGTCCTGCGAGGGCGACAGCGGTCGACAAGGGGCGAATTGACAGCGCGCGGCGAGCGCCGAGCGCTCACGACCGTGCGGGCGGAACGCGCGGAGCGGCCCTCTCACCGGCGAGCTTGCCGATGCGGCGCAGCAGCGCGTTCACGTGGCAGTGGTCCCCCGGCGCCTCGGGTGGAGGCTCGTACACGACGTGCTTGGCCGAGGTCTCCAGCACGTACTGGGCGAGCTCCACGACGAGAATCTGAGAGGGACTCACGCAGACGGAGCGCGCCCCTTTAACACGCACAGCGCTGGCGGTGACCGGTCGTCGGGCACTGACGACGCAGGATGTACTTTCAGATTTCACGAGCGATTCAAATATTTTCCGCCGCGCAGGTGTCCGTGGTTGTTCGACACGAAGAGGCTCCGAGAACGCGGAGCGAAACGTCGGACGTCGGGCCAAACAATTTGCGCTCCGATCCGAAAGCACCACCGGAGATGTTTACGCTCGTGGGACATCTGTCGAATCTTGCACGTTGGAGGAATTATTTACGAGTCTGAAAATTGCCGGGAGGGAAAATCATTAAATGCAGCATAACGTATAAAATATGATATCACACAACGGGCCATTAACACAGCGAGACATTGTGTTTTTGACGAGCCATTTGTTATTTGTGTAACGAGATTGGAGAAACTGATGAGTTGCTCAATCGAAGCTCAATTGGAAGGTTGTTAGGCAACAGATTAATGGACTTCATTATACGACGCTTCCGTGCTTGGCCTACAGTGGGATGTACCGAATAGGCACGGTTCATAACACTGGCAGAAGTGTAATGTGCATGCTTGCGAAGTTAATAACATTCTCAATTCCAAGAACCTCCATGCCTTTCGAATTGTACGAGCGAGTGGTAACGATACTTTGTTGTATAGCGAGTGTGCTATTCAGGGTATGAATTGCACCATAAATTACAATGACTCAAGGTGGACTTGAATGTAGGGTGGCTGTGGGTTGACACTGAGGGTAACCTCCGTGTAAATTATACGGCCGAGTAGAATGGTGGTGGGGTTGTTTACCACGATGTGCTGGTTCGTGTGTAGCTCGTGTGTGCCCCGCGTGTGGTTTGGGTGGCTGCTGTCCCTGCACTGGGGGTCGTCATCTTTAACGCCCCACGCACTTCTCTTGGCAGAACAAAGCCGTACGAAGCAGTGCTGGGGGCCCGCGAGGAGGATTTTGTTGTGAACCTCAGCAGAACCCCACAGATTGGCCTGCGGCTCTGATGGAGAGGCGATGCTGGATTACTCCGGCGATGCTGAATTACTTTGCATGGCAACTGTTAAACAATACTAATGCAGGGATTGCTGTAAATGGTATTTTTTCAAAATTACTACAAGATCCTGTCCACCTTCCCTTACCCTATTCCATAGGTGGACGTTCCGAGTATCTACACCTCCCCATTTCTCTTATTTGCACGTCCCTGTGCGTGGATAAGACAAGTTAATTGTGTGGATGAACAGGTATTATAGGATCTGCCCAAGTGCCCCCATCACCACCATCACCCATGATCGATCCACTGCTGGATGAAGACCTCCCTAAGTGACCACCAACTCTCACGTTTCTGCAAAGTAATAATCCACCCAGTATCTACGGACGATCTGATTTCATCGCTCCATCTCCCACGGTAGACGTCCTCTCACTCGTTCCATCACTTGGCTGCCATTCCACCGTTACACTCGACCATCGGTCATCACCCGTTCTAGCGATGCATCCTGCACAAGCCCGCGTCCTTTGCCTAACAGATGCCGTGAGCCTGCGCGTTCCTCCTTCTGACTCTCAATGCAATTCCAAACTTGAACATTTCCATGTTTTTTTGTGCCCTTTTCATCACTGTTGGTTCTTTGTTCCATTTCGTTTGTCAATGAGCGTGTCTCTGAACGGCGCAGCGCAATGGGTAGGACGCTCCAATGGGAACGCTCTTCGCTGGGCCACGCTGCTCTCTGCTACCGTCCAGTACGGAGTGCCCCCACGTCGGTGCCGACAGGAGAAGTCGTCGCCCCGCATGATTCTGGGAGGGGGGGAGGGGGGAGCTTCTTCCCCGTCGCCCACCACCTCCGGCGCACGGCCAGCGCTGCGTGCGTCACTCCCAGCGCCACATCCGCACGGTTACGTAACAGCAACCCTACAACAACGATTATTTTTTTATAAAGCGTCAGAAAGCACAAGGCATTAAAACCATTTAATTTAAACTAATTACACTGATATAGCAACACGAACAATTAATTCCCCTTTAAAACAAATGTAGCATTCTATATTGAGAGAGTGAGTGTAGCCCTGGGGGTTGCTATGGGAATCTATTTCTGAGCACATCACGTGCAGTATGAAAGCAGTGGCTACGTGAACAGAAATGTAATTTGCTGCTGGTAAATGTGGAGCGTAGAAATTCCGCCAGAAAACAGCACCACGACTGTGGCACTATGAGCACGGTTTCACATCTGCCATGATTTAAATGCAACGAGCGTTCACAGTTGGTTTAATTCATCATCTGCCATGAGCTGCACAGAATAAAAGGTCAATGTGAAATCATCGAGGTCTTATTTTAGTGTGACCGAGAGGAAAGTGAGATTATGCTTTGACCGACTGGATTTCTACAGGAAGCAGCGAGATTTCTAACGAGCGTCGTTACTAAGATTCATCGTTGACTTTTGGATTAGGCCACATAACGGTCTAGCCAAATTTATGCCATGAAAACCTCTACATGAACAAGCATTCCACGTGCTAGTTATTGTTTCAGCTCACCAGGAAGATGTTGTTTCAGCTCACCAGTAAGTTATTGTTTCAGCTCACCAGTAAGTTATTGTTTCAGCTCACCAGTAAGTTATTGTTTCAGCTCACCAGCAAGTTGTTGTTTCAGCTCACCAGTAAGTTGTTGTTTCAGCTCACCAGTAAGTTATTGTTTCAGCTCACCAGTAAGTTATTGTTTCAGCTCACCAGTAAGTTGTTGTTTCAGCTCACCAGTAAGTTATTGTTTCAGCTCACCAGTAAGTTATTGTTTCAGCTCACCAGTAAGTTATTGTTTCAGCTCACCAGTAAGTTATTGTTTCAGCTCACCAGTAAGTTATTGTTTCAGCTCACTAGTAAGTTATTGTTTCAGCTCACCAGTAAGTTGTTGTTTCAGCTCACCAGTAAGTTGTTGTTTCAGCTCACCAGTAAGTTGTTGTTTCAGCTCACCAGTAAGTTATTGTTTCAGCTCACCAGTAAGTTATTGTTTCAGCTCACCAGTAAGTTGTTGTTTCAGCTCACCAGTAAGTTATTGTTTCAGCTCACCAGTAAGTTATTGTTTCAGCTCACCAGTAAGTTATTGTTTCAGCTCACCAGTAAGTTATTGTTTCAGCTCACCAGTAAGTTGTTGTTTCAGCTCACCAGTAAGTTGTTGTTTCAGCTCACCAGTAAGTTGTAGTTTCAGCTCACCAGTAAGTTGTAGTTTCAGCTCACCAGTAAGTTATTGTTTCAGCTCACCAGTAAGTTATTGTTTCAGCTCACTAGTAAGTTATTGTTTCAGCTCACCAGTAAGTTGTTGTTTCAGCTCACCAGTAAGTTGTTGTTTCAGCTCACCAGTAAGTTGTTGTTTCAGCTCACCAGTAAGTTATTGTTTCAGCTCACCAGTAAGTTGTTGTTTCAGCTCACCAGTAAGTTATTGTTTCAGCTCACCAGTAAGTTATTGTTTCAGCTCACCAGTAAGTTATTGTTTCAGCTCACCAGTAAGTTGCTGTTTCAGCTCACCAGTAAGTTCTTGTTTCAGCTCACCAGTAAGTTATTGTTTCAGCTCACCAGTAAGTTCTTGTTTCAGCTCACCAGTAAGTTGCTGTTTCAGCTCACCAGTAAGTTGTTGTTTCAGCTCACCAGTAAGTTATTGTTTCAGCTCACCAGTAAGTTATTGTTTCAGCTCACCAGTAAGTTGTTGTTTCAGCTCACCAGTAAGTTATTGTTTCAGCTCACCAGTAAGTTATTGTTTCAGCTCACCAGTAAGTTGTTGTTTCAGCTCACCAGTAAGTTATTGTTTCAGCTCACCAGTAAGTTGTTGTTTCAGCTCACCAGTAAGTTGTTGTTTCAGCTCACCAGTAATTTGAAGATACATTTTCAGTCAAATTGAGCAATTAGGTTATCTAATTGCTCGACTGTGCTAGAAGGTATCTAGCAATTAGTAGCAAATTTTTGGTGTGAAAATTGTTCTTCTACTTACCGGTGAGCTGAAACAATAGTAATAATAATGGATGCATTAAACACTCGTCCACACGAAAAGTGAATTTTCTTGACTATGTCGGATGGTGGAGGGTTTCATGACAAATTTTGGTCGGATAATTACGTGGCCTAGCCTCAAAGTCAGTTATGAATCATACTACTGGCTGTGAAAACCCCCGCACTGTCTTAAAGATACGAGGGCCTCCGCTTCTCGTAGTAACGTCGCAGAGATTCAGTGGAGTGGCGGTGTTAACCCTTTGATGTTCATTGCAATCATTAGAACTTTATGCCAACAAATAGCACACCGATGTTAGTGATTTTTTTAAATAAAATCACTAAATCACGACTCGCATTTGGGACATACTCAAATATTCACACAAACGCGGCGTACAGCACAAAATGCCAAGATGTAATTATTTCACTCGGGATATTGAGAATAGTTCGCAGACTCATCCTACACTCGGCAGCTCCGTCATTATCCTTAGAACATTGATTCCAAGACATGTGTGTGGGTGGCGAAGAGAGATCCGATTTCACGACTGCACACCCCGGCTCGCACTGCCCGCATGAGTCGGTCCCTTTATACCCTTCCCCTCCGCTCCACAATTAACTGCAAAACGCAATTCCACTTTGCAGCGTTCCTCGTGGAGGCCGGCTAAAATAAGAGGGGGGAAATTAAAACTCAAAGTTTACGTGACGCTGCGGAGCTCACAAGGGGCAGATAATATGACTAAATCTATTTTAATCTGGAGGTTTATTATCCCCCCATATCTTGTTGAGAACGACATTGTATCATCACGCCCACGATATTTCCTTCCCGCGGTGATGAAGCCGGCACGCTCACTCTGCTCTGGTAAAGACTCCGTGATCACCGGCGCTTCCCTTTCCTGCCTCGCAAACTCCCCGCATCAGGGGGCGCGATTCGCACGTGCGGCACGGCCCCCCACTCGCCGGTTCGTGGCCACATACGCAGACGCACGCACACAAAAGACAAAGATCCCCCCCACATTAGCCTCTTGGGGCAA